CTACATTTTCCATCCATTTAATTCAATATAAATGACAATTTGGATATAAAAACTCTTTTGAATGCAAAGAAAAGTTCATTAGTATTAAGTACTAATTTTAAAAACTAGTGACAAAAAGTTAATTCCTCTTATTTACAACTCCTTTCATAAGGGGGTAGAAAATTTTATCTTTTGAAATCAGGCCTAGGCTGAAAACATCACCATTTTCAAATACTCATGAAAATGAAAATGGATAAATGACTCTTAAATCTCGCCGTTTGTTTTAACTTATGTAAAATTTAACATATGAGATTGATAAAGTGATAAAGTACATTTTTTTTATTTGTGATCTCATTTAAAATTGGTAATAAAATGACTATTTTCATGTTTTTAATCTTTAAACACGTACCCCGTCCCCCCCCCCCCCCCCCCAGGTGAGACAACAAAACCTTTGGAATGAATAAAAACTGAAAAAAGGATCTGTTGTTTCGCGGGGGAAGATTGATTGATTGATTGTATGTTGTTTAACGTCCATCTCGAGAATTTTTCACTCATATGGAGACGCCACCACTTGCCGGTGGAGAGCTGCAAATTTTGTCCTATACTCGGCACTTACGGCCATTGAGCAGTGAGGGGTCTTTTTCGTGCCAGCACCTACTGCGACACGGGGCATCGGTTTATACGGTCTCATCCGAAGGACCGGTCTCCACGTCCCATAGTGGGATTCGAACCCGCGACGTAAGGATCAACTCCTTACTTCGCGACTCTAGAGCAGACGCTCTAACCACTGCGCCACGCGGGCGACTGGCGGGGGAAGATGTTTTGAAAATAAATTTCCATTTTCCTTTAATTTCTATGGTGAAATATTTTTTCAAATTAAAGATTTATATCTCTTTATTTTCCCAAATAACTTATGTTTTACATACATGGATCTAGAGAGGGGGGGGGTCGTCGGGAGGGGGGTCCGGACCACCCCCTGGAATTTGTAGAGATATTTAATATATAGACCTATACTAAACCAACTGAAAGTGACCTTGGACCCCCCCCCCCCCTTAGAAAACGCGGATCCGTGTTAAGTTGATATGAAAAGTCATAGATATGAAGCATAAGATGTTAACCCCCCCCCCACACACACACACACCCACCCACCGAAATAGGTTTTTTTACGTTTAGGAAAGGAGTTTACGTTTTTGTTTTTGTTTGTTTGTTTGTTTGTTTGTTTGTTTGTTTTTTTTTTTTGGTCAAGAAATGTTTGGGTTGGATTTTTTTTTACTGGGGTGGGCCCCTCCTGTAAAAAAAATCCTGGATCCGCGCCTGGTTTTATGAAAATTCACATAAATATCAATATAAATATGAAAATTTATTCAAATACGTGTGGCAGTTGGCAGTAAGCAGTGAGCAGTTGGCAGTAAGCAGTGAGCAGTTGGCAGTAAGCAGTTGGCTGTCGTATATGGAATTCCATAAGCAGGGGAAATTTTTAGGGGAAAAAAATCATTAATTTTTTTTTTTTTTTTAGAAAATCAGAGCAAATTCGGATAAGCCAATATCTTCAAATGGTAGTATTGTCTGATATATCTTATGTTCTATCATCTTTTTACGCAAAAAAGCAAAGCATATTATATTTTATAATAGAAATAGTTATCATATAATTGGCTTCAATAATTCTAATTCCTAAAGGGAAATGAAAGTGACCTGATCTTGCTACTAGATTAAGACGGTCAAATCTTACTAATAACATCACTTAGGGATATTGTCTTCTTGAATGTGTGAAAATTTCATCAATTTTTAATTGCAATTAATATAAAAAGAGTTTATATCCATCCTTAAGAAATCTTTAATACATATGGCTTAAAAAAAAAGATCTAAAACTAGTTTAAGTATCAGTTTTGTTTAGAAACAAAAACCGATTTTCATAAGAAATAACTCCGCCGAAATATGGCTGAAATATAACTCGGCGCTCAGCATTAATCAATCAAACAATCATAAGAAATAACGAAGAAAATATTAAGGGGGGTGTCGAATTTACATTTTAAAACCCTAGAGGGGACAATTAACATAACGTATCCAGGTGCATATTGAAAAATAAAAGAGAAAGAATGGTTTCCTTTGCAACAAAACTAAACCAACATAAAAGCATGTACATTGGCATGTCCCAACTTATTGAGGACAATATTTTTAAAGTGTAATATTTGTTGAAATTTGAATACCCACATTAATTCAGTGTTATGTTTTTTTTTGTTTTTTTGTTTTTTTTTTTTTTGTGATAAAGCATTGAAAGAGGAAAAGTTGTTGATTCCTGTACACACTCCCCATTCATTGAAGATCATAATCTTTTTCCACGTCTGTTTGTCAAAATTGGGGACATATATCTAGTATGCAAGCCTCTCATTGACACGTTGGCCTGGACAATTTGCAGAAAACGATTTCGGAAAGAAAAGAGCTCAATGACTTTGAAGACAACTATCGTAGGACATCCCACCCGATTCCATAAATTAGACGTCAAAAGAGGAATGCACAGCAATGCGTGACGATGAACGGGAGAAATAAACATAAAAGCTCCAGACCGGAAGTTATAAATCTATTTCAACCGCTTATGACCACGATGAATTGTATCTCTTGCCTGGCTTAAAATAACCGTTAAACGAAATGGTATAAATTAACTCGGTATAACTTAAATCGAAAGCTACCAAAGTAATCACTTAAAGTTTAAAACCCAGAGGGAATAACACGATCACAACACAATGGGGTTTTCAGAGGTACGTTTCGCAGGCATGATGGGACATTTTTTTTTCACCCTTTAATCATTCAATCATTTATAATTCCAAAAATTTTCTTTGATTGTATGTGTTATTTAACACTTCTGGCAGAGGTTGAATTTTAGTATAATCTAGGGGTAAGGATTATGAGAGGATAATTTGGTTAATTACAAATGCAATTCAATATCCTAGTATTACTATTTAGGTTTTTAACTAAAGATCTTTATTTTTTCATCTAAGATATCTCAGCAAATGAGGGGAAATATTTGCAATTTATTTTTAATCAAATTTTATTTTTCATAAAAATTAACTTCTGTGACTATTGCCAAAATAAACTGTGTGAAGATATCTAAACCCTGCAATGTTTGATTTTTACATAAAATAATTTTATTCTAAGACTGCATTGTTGTGTGAAATAGAAGGTTATGAACAAAGAACTAAAAAAAAATTAGTGTTAATTGTTCAAGCTGTATCTTTTTGAACTATTTTTTTTAATCCAAAAAGTTCTTTTTTACACCAGTTTACATTTTTGACGGCAGTTTACATATTTGTCGTCTGTTTACATTACATTTTCAATTAGTCTTCGGAGTTACTCTCCTGTGAGCAATATTTACGAAAAAAGACAGTGACATAATATACACACAACAGGTTCGTTACAGACAATGCTAAATATCATTGAATTTATATCGTATCAATAATTATCTTTGATGAAACCAATTCTTTAAGCAGTTAAAATAAGAAGTCCCGAGACAATATTCTGTTCAAATTTGCTCTTTACTTCCAATATCGAATTTATTTTCTGATTGATTGTCTTGTCTTTTCTTTCTCTTTTATTTTCTTTTCAAGCGTCGTTTGGTTTAGTCACTGTTTTAGTCTAAGCATTAAGATTTAACATAATGGAACTCGTGTTTTCATATATATGTAGGATACTCATCCATTATAGAATTCGAAGATATGCATATCTATTCTTCTACCTAAGAGTTGCTTTGTAGAATCATGTACATGTAAGGCAAGCAAAGCCGGAAAGGGGGGGGGGGGGTATAGAGAAAATGAGTGCCTTCCTACAGTTTTGAACTTTAAGGGAATACTGCTTTATGATTATGAGGACTTGTAGATTATATTTTATATGTTCCTTGCCATTTTTTGCGAGCAAAAGTGGCATATGTTGCAATGAGTTATAGAAAAGGATTTGATTGAACTGTTAACAGGGCAGTTGATTTTTGAAAAAAATAAAATAAGAAATTGGAAATTGCGAAAAAGTAAATATCTTGCCAAAATAAAGTATTCTATTTATATTTGGTTTACCATAATAGTGTTTCTATTCAATATTTTCAACAACAAAAAATTCTTTAGTTAACAATAAGTGAATCTCCAAGTTTTTTTTCTGCTTTCTGTAGGAATATCCCTATATACTACTATAATACTTTATTCGTGGGCATTTTTCAGTGGATAATAGTTGTAGAAGTTTATACAGTGTACATACCTGACCTAAATAAAAAGTACTTTTTTCATATGCAATTTTCTGTACTCATCATTCAGTGAGCAAAGATGAGATATGGGTATCCGACAATCACCTGTATTTTTAAAATCAATAGTTTTTACACATACACTGCATTTATGCATTTTTTTTTTGTCTCATCGTCTGAGAAAGATATAGTATTGGGGCCTATAAGAGGCATTCTTTAATTCTTATTTGTCCGTTTTATTTTATTTTACTCATTACATTAACAAGTATTCCTAGTACTCACCCAAAATTTTAATGCTGGTTTTCAAATTATGTGTGTTACATAGTCCCCAATTTTTTTGTTTTGTAAATATGGCTTGTATCATGCTTTTGTTGACAGACAAATTGCTGAAAAGTAAATTATATATTTTTAAACAAAATGAACAGTGAAAACAAGACTAATTCTTATTAACTTGAAAAAAATATTGAAATGAAAGTTTTACCAGTATATAACCCATGTAAACAAATCAAAGAACGAGCCTTTAAAATTACAAAGCCTGTATCTCGCTCGACAAATGACATTGAAATTTTGGTTTTACGCTCAAAATTCCAAGACAAAGCACTGTAAGCATATTGACACTGGAAACGTAAGATTTGAAATTTCTAAGGTCAACTCGTGGCTATGCCTTCTTTAAAGTGTGTACAAATGTAATTATATCACGTGAACACGTATTCTTGGAATTAAGGTGTTTTACCTTATGAATATGTATAAGTAACGCAAATTGATAGGTATATAATTTCCAATATTTGATGTCCATTAGAGAGTTTTACCAACATTATCCGTTGAAGCGCACATCTTAGGATTAACTATCGATCGGATTCTAGAAAAGAACTTTTCGTTGGGGTAGGTATTTCTTGTAACATTTTATACTTTTGCTCTTCAAGGAAACAGGTAAAAAAAAAATTTAAAAAATCAAATACTTAAGACTTCTTTTTATCCCTATGTTTTGCCCTCCATTCATTTGTATTTTGTCTCATTCCTGTGGAAATTCGCATTAAGGGAGAATTTTCAAACTTTGAAAAAGTCCCGCAAAATTGGCTGATGATGTAATTGTCCATTAGTTCGAATAGTTTATTTATATAAAAATCTAATGTAACTGTCAAATTCATTACATCACAACTAGTTAGTTGAATTGTAAATTACACGCATATAGACTAAAATTTCTAATGTTGTTTCAGTCTTGATAAAGTGCACATTCACATTGTGTCAAATAATTTTTGGAATTCAAAATAACCATCTGTTCCTTGTGTTTGGAATAAAATAAATGTTATCACAGTTTATTGACATCTAGAATACTCAATGATTTGCCAATATTATTCATTCTTAAAGAGACACATTTTTCTATACAAATGCATTAATTGTTGCCAACAAGGATTGTTGAACTGATCTGTCTGATAATAGAAAGCAGGGAGTTTAAAATGAACACTAATGATCTTCTCTGGTGATATGTTTTAATGGATAGCTAGAAGAGCAAATGTCTGTTACATGCTAAATACAAGTATGTTATTGGTATTAATACCTCTTTTTAGTTCCAAGAATAACACTAATGCTTTTTTCTTTTCTTTTTGGATAGGAGTGCAGTGATATCAATTAGTATTTAAAAGCAGTTAGACAATTTGTGTTATATATTGCAACTTTACAGCATAATTTTTTAACCAAGATCTGGTTTGATTGGACCACTAAACTGGGTTTCTACTTATTGAGTTGTTGTTTAAATGTGAATTTCCATCTTTTTCTTTTGAAAATTTGGATATAATTCGTTATAACATACATTGTATTGCGTTTTAAATTGAAAAAATGAATTATATAAAGTGACAAGTCTCTTTTTCTTCATACATGTACATGTATAATATACGATGTACAACTCAACGAGTTCTGCATTTTATTTACTTTAAAGTTGTAAATTTTTCTTCATTGTCCAAAGAAAATGGACTAAAAATTTTTCCACATTATATAATTCATATTGTTGATTAATTGGTTTTTTTTAATTATTATGATAAATATCTCAGCTTTGCAAAAAATATTTTATGTCTTGCATTTTATACTTGTCATTGGAATACAAAATGTAGCTAAACATACATTTCCTTCCAGTTTTGAACTATGAACCACAAAGGACGAAGCAGTATTCAATAGAATATATTTGATTTAAAGTAGAGGGTGTCAAGCCATAGTTTGTCATAAAAACCTATTTTTCCTGATTAGAAAGATTAGCAATGATATCATTCTAGATATACATTTATTTTTCAAAGGCGGATCAAGGGTCGGCGCTTCGGGCGTGCCCCCCCCCCCCTTTTGATTTTTTTTTTTTGGAAATGTTGTTTGTATAACAAGCATTTACCTTCGGTTTAGTCCAGTTTAGTACATAAATTGATAAAATGATACTACTGCGCCCCCCGTTGTGAAATTCCTGGATCCTCCAGTTTTTTCTAACATTTTAGCGAATTGACGGATACAAACATCTAAACATTGCTTCTGCAAATAGTCTGTGTCTCGTTAAAATTGAAAAGCCAAGTACATGTGACTTTAAACATGTACAATGCAGTGTGTATTATATTTATCATACGTCCTGAAATAAGTTTCTTCGCAATAACAGTTTTAAAAATTAAGTATGTAGTATTTCAACAAATGCAGGGAGTAAAGAAAAGAAGTGGGTATGGCTTTGGTTTTATTGTGCCCTAAAAATGTATTCAAAAAGTTCTGAAATTTGCTAATTATGAATTGAGTATGTAAGTTTGACAAGGCATGAAAGAATTAGACATTAAGGATGACAGTTAAGGAAATATGACATCATCAATTTGGTGTATTTCCAAGTTTTAAACAGAAAAAGTCTCAAAATGACTCATTTGAGGGTTTATATTCCTTAAAAAAATAGTGTCACAGCCGTCGACCACTTCAATTTTCGGATATGTTGTGTAAAATTCTTTGAAAAATCACATTTCTCATAATCTTTGTGGGGAATGCATTTGGACTATATTATCTTAAAGAAAATTCCACTGAAAATTGATGTCTTCTACAACTTTTTTTAAAGAAAATATGGAAAATGCACAAGTTCATGACGTTACAATTAGCAGTTGGGATGTCAACTGAGAAAAACAAATCATATTATCTTAGTGAATGGAATTTCAACGATACAGAAAGCACAAGTTTGAATTTCTTACATCACTTTCATATTTTAGAAATAAAGGGTCAGATTTGTATTGAAACCGTACCTTGTTCTTTGTTACTGAACCTCTACTTCTTATGTTGTGGCTTAAAATTCCATCATATGTTTGCAAAAGAAATTTATAACATTTTGCAATAATTCAATTGACAAATTTTCCACCTATAATATTGTCCACAAGAGTTCTAGGGGATGGCTAAAACAATCTTAATGGAACTTCACAATAATAATAATCACCTTGTCTAGTTGTGCTTATATTATTTAAAATTTTCAAAATGGCATCATTGCTATGGAAACAGAGGAAATATGAAAATCTAAAATATTTTTTTCAGCAACAGTCATTTTTTTCGAAACATTAAAGGATTATTCCTAGCATCAAGTCAAACTGATTTCTATCCCCAAAAAATGGAATAGCATGGATAAACGTTTTTACTATTACCACGGGAACAAAAAGGAAGAGTCTTCTTTTCATTTTGAATTTTTCCTCCAAAAATATTTTAAACTGCATAATATTGATGTGTAAGTGTCTCTCAAGTTTCTGGGGTTTAAAATTTCAAAAATGCCTCCAATTTCCATGGAAGCAATTTTGGATGAATTTCTGAAATTTAGCAAAAAATTTTAAAAGTTATTGCTTAGTTTATTACAACTAAAATATTGCATCATTTGGAGTCTTTGGGGTGACAAATGCAATAGCAAAGTTTCTATTTTTTTCTTTGATGTCATGATATGAATTCATGTAATATAGGTATCTTCAAACATTTACATTTGCTAATGTTTTGACAACTTTAACATTACAGTAAAAACATTCATAAATGTATCGCATCTCATTTTAACTTTATCTTTGTGTCCTTATTTGGGAAAAGACGATAATATCAAGTTTAACCGAGACCTAGAAGTAGAGTTTAAGTAACTTAGGATAAATACATATATAACCGCTTTAGTGGTGCATGAGGATAATAACCGACCTGAAATATTTCCGATAATGTGTCGGCATTTGTGCTCCTAGTTGGTTAATACCATATTTACACCAACAATAAACAAGCATTGTAAATGAATGAAATTTAATTGATGTAAAGTATAAGTGCCAATATTATACTGTTTTAGCATGCAAAAATTAGTTAAAGAGCATTTGTAGTGTCGGGTAGATACGAGTTTTGAATCGACAGATGCTTGTCAAAAAATAAAGATGTACAATATGTCCACAAGCATATATATTTGCTAATGTCATTCAGACAAGCAATGGAACTATTCTATAAATAAAATTGTAAAATTTAATAGGAAAAAACGGACAAACAAACCTATACATCACATTGATTCTCTTGGTCTTTAAGTTCTGAAACGAGAAATGAGGTCAACTCAGTTAATGGTACATGACTTTTTGTATAATTCATCTTGCTTGTCGACCACGCTTTTGAGATCTGTTTTTAATCGTATTCATATCTAATGAATTTCTGTAATCAGTCTTGTCCTCATGCTTAGAATTATATTGCTTCCATATATGGTTTGGGTGTAAGATGTTGCCAAACTGACTTTCTTTCTTTCTTCCATGAGATGTGAAGTTAAATACATGTACATGTGTATACCAAGTATTTTTCTACATGACGAGTATATCAAAAGATTCTCTAAGTTCCTTTTCAAGCCTTCAAAACTAAAAGAATAATAATTCAAAGGAATAAGCACATCATTTTTTAATGATTATGTGGTTATGAGGTACTTACTGACCTGAGAGTACTTGAGTCATACAAAAATAATCACGTGATTCCAGCTACGTTATCATACAGATAAACATTAAAAAAAAATGATTTAATACATTTTTATATTCTCACTTAAGGATAAATAACACAAACAAACTTTTTTTCAGAAATCAGCAATATTTCTCATAGATTTATTTTCAAATAGGTAACCTGAATAATATTTGCCAGGTAAAATGGGAGAATTTTATAAGTTTTTGTCACCATGTAAAAAATGTGTGCAAAATTTTGTATAGAATTACATAGAACACGAAACAAAGTCGCATATCTAAGCACCGAAGGAAACTTACGATTTCTTTATATTTTAGGGATCTATTATTTATGAAATTTCTACTCAAAATCAGTCAAAAAATATATATCAATCCATGCATCAAATTTTTGTTTGTGTTATGTATCCTTAACAGGCAAAATGTCCTACCCGGTCGCTGTTGTCTAGTGGTAGGGTGCTCGCTTCGTGATCGGGAGATGATTCTCATTCTCGGCGCTGCGTCAAACCTAAAACGTAAACACAGATAGTGACAGTTCCTTCGCAAGGCGCCCGGTACAAGCAGGGAAAATCACGAGTCTTTCGGATGAGACTTTAAGGGTGTCGCGGTAGGCGTTGGCACGATAAAGAACCCTCACTGCTCAAAGGTCCTGAATGTCGAGTAAATTTAAAGCCCATCACCGGTATATAGTGACATTTCTTTATGAGTGAAAAATTCTCGGATGGGACGTAAAACATACAATTAGTCAATCAATCAATCAAAATGTCCTACCTGGACCAGACTTAATATATGAAGCTTTACATATGACGTCATAACTACAATTTATTTCATTACTTCAATTAAGGAGAGAAAGCGTTTAAGGGTAAGAACATTAGATTATACAATGTTGTTTAAGAGTTAACCGCAATTTTCCCTACACGATTTTTAGGGATTCATTTAATAATAGGATAGAGTGTTTATTTTGAACCCCTCTCCAAACTGCTGTAATAATAAAATATTATATGCAAATTTTGTTCACTCTTCACAAACTTTCACTTATGATTTTTCGAACACACGAAGTTGATTTTTTAAAATTCATATTTTACAAAGCTGTAAATTTCCAAACCCTTTACAATTTTCTTGTTGCGTGCGATCGATATCCAACAAATGTCTTCTCATGCATTATACAGATGTAATGCGCTGGCGAAGAACAGATCATGTATTCCCATGGCTAATGTCAGACAAACAAAAACATTTTATACCCCAAACCCTGAATTTTTTGTATTTTTAACCATATGAGAAAGAAAAGTTATTTGTAAAGACATTTTTATCCGTCGTAATTTTGCGCTTTGACAACATCTACGATTCCAAAAAGAGTACTATATTTCGCCGCGAAAATTTCAGTCTTACAACCGCTCACCTATGGTGACACAGTCTACTCCACTGCGTTACGAAGCGAAATCCAACTGGGAATAGGGAGAATAATAAACAGAAAATTCAATGTTTTGTATGAAACATAATAAGGAATTTATTTCACGAATGGGATATGATTTTTTTTTATAGTTTCATGAGAGTGAAATACGAGTTAAAGCATAAAAAAATCTTGTCCCACTCGTTATAAAATAAATATTTATTAAAAATTCCATATACAACTACAAAACATGGAGTATACTGTAAGTACGGCGTATTTCAGTGAGATATACCATAGTACCATTTGTTTTTACTGTTTTGAAAATTTAGCTGATGCATGATAGAAATTAGTAGTTTCTCAAGAAAATTCTGAATGTTTTCGACACCTAAATATCATATTAAACCTAGATATCTTGCATGTCAGAAATCAAATACTTAATAAATATTAATTATCGAAAGAACTCGAATGATTTCAGGTGACACCCATCTGGCGACTACGTAAAACTTACTAAGCGAACACGCTATGCTTCACATAAAACATGTTTTAAATTCTATTCATGCCAGAACTTAGTGTTCATACTCATTTTTTCTAAATGGTATATATTAATAGATTTAGTGGTGGCAAGTGGGCGGGGGAGGGGGGAATTATGCTGGAGGGTGAAATACTTGTAAGGATGATATTATTGATAAACACCCTAATTAGTACAAATCTACGGAAATTATTTAAACATTAAAAGTATATTAGCTTTTATAAAAAGCTTTACCGTCTTGCAGCAATCTTAAACAGTAAACTGACATACATCTATCAGGTCGTATCATTCTTGAGTAGTAAACAGAGATTAGATCCACCATAAGAGACAGTCCAAAGAAAAGAAAAAAGATAAACTCAAATTTTATTAATATTTTAGTGTTTGCATGCAAAATGAGAACAAGTCTGTGTACCACAAAAATAGTTAAACCCCTTTTTAATAGTTGCTTTAAAACATTAAAGTGTTCGTTTTAATTATTGCTATTTTCTTGTGTTCGTTTTGTCGATTTTTTTAAGATTGAAAAAAACTTGAAAAATTGATAAGTCGTACGAAAATTAAATCAGCAGAAAATTATATCCCTTTCCTTGAACAGCATTTCAACTAATGAAAATTTTCATATCATGCTTTTTCTGTCAATTACAAAAGGAAGGAAGTGCACAGGCCGAAGACTAAAATAGTTCAACTATGCATATTGTTTTCCAAGGAAGACGGTTATGATATGGAAGGAAAGGAGAAACGCTAGACATCACAAATTTTATCGCAGACCCTAAAAAGGGTAGCTTTTAAGAATAATCTCCCTGTATCCAGTGGCATACAACCTCCAAAATTATTATTATACCATATACATGGATCATACTCTTATTTTAATCATTTATGTTTTGTAATCTTTCTACCACCCACACTGGTTCCCAGGAAAAGGAATTATAAATAGTTTTAGATAATGTATCTTTTTCCGAATGATTACATATAGATTAAATTCAGAATTCTAATGTTAATGTCTTGAAATGAGATGACAATAACATTATAATGAAATCGTGATGCATAAAGACATAAAAGCTATTACCACCATCAATATGGAGGTCATTAGCATATGAACAATTTGAAGTACGTATATGAATGACACCGGTGCTGAATGAACATCCGATGACGGCCATTACATTACGTTACAGGAAGTTGTCCACGATATCACACGGAGGTGATTTCCATTAAAATGTCAATTTACAGATTTTAATTCCCGAAATCAAAGTCGTACTTCCACTTATTCGAACACAACTTAAGCGCTAATAATCATACAGTACTTTTGTTACTAAATAATATGTACAGCAATTTATATGCCCTTCTAAAAAAATTGACTACAATTTGACAATTAATGAATAATATCATGCACGATTCTGAGCTATCATGTTCATTTATTTATAAAGGTGATGAAACTTGCGGAACTAGTGACTGTTTTCTCCTTTCTCTTCCTCGTTACGTTCTCTATGGGAGATGGTGCTCCACAATGGCGACCACAAGGCAGGTTTGGAAAACGTCTTGATCAGAGATTTCCCTCCTCATGGCAACCAGGCAAGTTTCACACTTAATTGTGATGTGTTAAATAAAAGAACAGTAGGGCACAGCTATTGAATGAATGATTTTTTTTTTAAATTTGATACTTATCATTTTTTTTGGGAGGAAATTTAAATTGAAAAAAAAGTTAGGACAAAACTATAAGGACCAGATCTACGAAATACTGTCCAAAATATCCAAAAGGTGCTTCAATACGAATTTAAGCACCTATTACAATATATATCATTGTTTTATTTATTTTTATTTTTTTGCAAAAACTGAATTATGGCCCTATGTTGCTCCAATTCCTTCACTGTTCTAGTCACCGGCTCCACTCCACTTATGTACAAAATACATGTACTGTGTATCAGCAAGAATTGTACACTAGTTTAATTGTTTAAATTTTCCCCACTTTTTCTATGAACAGTGTCCGGCACAGAAAAAGACATAGATGTTTTTCCTGTTTTACAAGAACAGACAGATGAACAGACAAACAATGTAGATAATCTTATAAATGTATTAAAGAAAGTGTGTGTGGAAAGCAACGTACCCGGCCTATATAAATGTTACAGGTATACTATAAGCTTTGTTTCATATACATGTACATCGTAAGTTGATAGTCTAAGTCCACAAAAAGAAAGTTTAGATTTTCTCAGTGAGAAATGTTTTAAACTAAAATGAATATTATAAGAAAACATTCATGCTTCGTTATGTAATTTTTAATTTTTTTTTCTTTGCTCAATAGAGATGACACTCTTAAAACATTTATACATGTACTTTCTTTTTAATTTTCAGGAGGACGGACTCTAGTTTCCGATCGTCTTCAGGGAATGCTTGAGGTGCTTCTGACCTGAGGGCCTCTGTTTTTAAATGACAATTTGATTTCTCAATAAAGGCCATATAAATTGTCATGAATCATTCTCATTTGAAAATTGAAACCAAATTACTGTTAACTTTTAATGTACCTCCCCCAAAAATGCACAAAGAGCTCGTGACATCAACTTCGAGATGATTGTGAACTGATCAATAATGAACTAGAATTCAATTTCCGGAATTATTGCACTCATTGTAAATAAATGCATGCCTAGTAAAAAAGAATAAAATTTATTCAAAGTAAAATTGCTAGTTTATTCCACGGCACTCTTTTTTTGCACATTTTTACTCTTCGATAAAGATGTGTATTTGTACGTCTATTTTGTTGAAGAAATAAAACCCGTAGGGAAAAAAGTCATTTGTTTGGTTTAAAGCCATTATCTATTTAAATTTTTATTGAAGTGATAAATATTGAGACCATGGAAGAACTGAGTAGTTCTCTTATTTAATGTCGCAAAATATTGCCAACTTATTTTGCAGAATTCGTTGCAATCGTATAGCGGTTTTGATGCAATCACAACCATTAATAAATGTTAAAATCTGTTGGACAGAAAACACAATATATGATTTGGGAACACCAAGACACCAAACAGTCAAAATTATGTTTGCATTGTTTCATAAAGTGTCTTCGAGTAGCTTGAGCGTGTATCAATGACCAAGTTGTTTTTCAAGGATCCTAATTCTTCAAAATGAACATGCTTACTTTTGTTCAAAGATGAAAAATTGTCATAGTTTCTGGAGGAAATTTTGCGAATATTAATTAAACCTAAGCTGTCCATCCGTTTTCTAATGATGCGCAAAATTGGATTGCTAAATTGTGGATTTATACGTAGAGTTTTAAGAGCTTTAAGTATTTAATTTTGTTATCAAACAGTTCATGCGATATCACACAGAGGTCCCCGAGACTGAATAGATTACAATCTAAATCAAAGACTCAGAAAGTGTTCGGACAGAGCATACCTCTGCAAACAATACAATTCAAAGTGCCTTATTTAATCCTCCCGTCATAATTATGACAAAGCATGCTTAAGTTAGCTTTCTTTTATAAATCTTAGTGATTGATCTGCATTTGTAACTAAATCTCATCGATTTGATCTTGCTTCTTAGCTTTTGGAACGTCCCCTCCTCCACCCCCAAAAATATACTAAGTATATCAGAAACGTTCTTAATTAACTTTCTGGGATGTCTTACAGACAATTGTCCAGGGTAAATAAAAAAAGGTGGAAATATATTTTGTATTTAAATCCTTCTCTATCATTGGATTCGCTTGACATCTCCCTGATTTTTCCTTGCAAAAGAACATAATTTCCCTTCTTTTTACTGAAATTCATTGCATAGCTATTTAGAATATCTCGCAGGGAAACAAATGAACAGGTCAAGATAGGCAAAAATGACTTCTTTCTATCTAAAATGGTAATTATGCAGGATCGAACTCGAAATACTAGTGTACAAATATCACTCATGTTGCCATTAAAATTTTGAAATTTCCAAGCATGTGTCAACTTTACTGCAATCCAGTTTTTTGACCATTACAATTTTTATCAAAACTACTATATTGTGGAAAATTATATATAGGGAAAACGTCTTTTTATCGTTATAAGTTTATTTCTCTTAGAAATCAGAGATATATAAACAAGATATGTTCTTATTGACGAAAAAAGTGTACCTTGCTGTGACAAATTCCCACTTATCTGACTTTTACCTCTGAATATTTTTTTGTTACCTGGCTTTACTTTTCATGTCCAAGGTTTACATTATAAACTAGGCAGACAAGCAAATATACATGAACAAAAACGGCTCCTTATCTTTGATTCCAGGAACATTATAGAGTCGTAAATTCATTACACTCAAATTTAAACAGTCATTCTTCATTTGTCAAATACATATACTTTGGAAATTTGACTAAGAAATATCATGTTAACATTGCAAATTACATATACGATTTCCCACAGTCTCTTTTTGGGATAAAGAGTCCAATGAAAGAAAATCCTGTCTAACGAATATAACAATAGAAGTCATTGTACAATTTTTACGTGCAAAATATGAAAATGTGCTAAAACATGGGAACAATGTATTAAGACAATGTATGACGTTGTCTCACGCTTCTGTCCCTATCCAAATTTTGACATCCTCGAATTCAACTAGTCCACATAAACCAAACTTTATGGCAACCTGGAAAAAGGACAGAAATATATCTTCATGTACGAATAAAAAGCATGTGCACATACTTATAAAATTGGATGTAAATACATGTATGCTGACACTTTCTTAAAAAAAAAATTGGACGCAACAATATGCACAAAGTAATGTTCTCACAGAAATAGTAGTAGTATATGGAATCTGAAAACCTATTCTTGTTAGCTATACCAATTTCAAAACAGTACATGTGTTTCTTCAATTAAATCTCTGTATTATACACCCTTAAACATGACGTATTTTTGTCAGTTTCGACAGATTACTTAACAAATTAGAATTCTTTTTTCACAGAGTCATGCCATAACAACGATCTTCATGACAGTAAATGAAAATTGATTTTTTATTTAGAAGTATGCACGCCATTTAACCTCTCATTTTCATAAGTGTGAGAAATCACATAAGTAGGAAAAACATATCTTTTTTTATAAAAGTATCCGAGAATTAGTAACCTACAGCTAAAGATCAATACGACTTTCATGAAATCTTGGTTGAATGTGGTTGTTTGATAAGCATTTGACATATCCATAGCAAAGAAAGTGACTGATAACTGACACAGTAGTCAGTCAATACTATTTTAGTTGACCTAAATACTTGTTATTCACAATATTGGAGAGAAAAAAAATCTTATATCATGAAATTAATCAAATTATTGAACCAGTCCCTGTCGAGAACAAAGAAGGTTTGTTTTCTTCAATTAACATGTGTACGTGTAAATTCCAATAATTAGATACCTTTGCGTGATAATTAATGTCGATGATCTTACATCCGGGGAGTCCGGAGGGTGGTAGAACGGGCACCTGTCCAATGGAGGAGCCACTAACAGTATCCTCTTCATCAGAACCTAATCTTAGATCCCTTTCTGCTACAGTGAAAACCTTTTTCTCTGAAGTCGTTCTCTTAAATCCTCCGTGATGCCCAGTATATATCACTAACTATTAAAGGTGAACAATATGATAATTAAGAATATACAATTTTGATTGTACAAAAAAAATTATATGCATATACATGTAAATTATTTTATTTACGTTCATTGATCTTGTCTAAATGTAATTGTAATACATTAGCCTAAAGTCAAGTTTGAAGAAAAAATGGGTCAAGTCTTCTTTATCATGTTTATGCTAAAATGCATATTCCTTTTAAATTAGTTCTACTTATTTCTTCACAAAACAACAGAAATTTAAACAGCTTCAGCATTGTACTTAGATAAATGCAATACTAGGATTGGCCTGATGTGGTAGACAAATGACAGACATGAAAGGCGTGGTTGGGGAGGGGATATTTTTAAAACATCGTTCAATAAAAGAAAAAGTGGGCAAGCTCACATACCCCACCCTCCCACACTGCTTGACATTTGACAACGCTATGCATAATGACTGGTAATGCATTAAATAAAACAAATAATTAGCCCCCATCCCCACCCCTTCCCTTTTACAGATGTTTGTCACATCAAATCTGTTTGTAATATACAGAGGTGCACTGTCAAAAACTTCCATGATGCACGTGCTAACCCGATTTCACACAAGTTACACATAATATGGTATAGAGCTTTCATTTTCAAAATACCGTCACGGTAGCTCAGTCGGTACAGCGACTGACCTAAGTTGGTAAAAAAAAAAATAGGTAGCAACTGTTTCTTCGCCATGCGCTCGGCAATTGGAAGTGAAAGTTGTGGGTTCTTCGGATGAAACCTTAAAAACCGAGGCCCCATGTTACTGCAGGCGTTGGCACGATAAAGATCCATCACTGCTCAATGGCCCTGAGTGCCGAGTAAAGGTCTAAATTTGAAGCCCTTCACCGGTATATGGTGACGTCTCTATATGAGTGAAAAATTGTCGAATGGAACGTAAAACAACAATCAATCAATCAATCATTCATTTTCAAAAGGGGCATAACTCCAACAAAAAAGAAACAAATCAACATTTCCTGTGAATAGACAGTATGTCCAAATGAACTACAAAGTTTAATGAAATTATGTTGAGCAGTTTCAGAGGAGTTGGGCTAACAAATTGTTAAATAAGTAAAAATAGGTCATAACTCCCAGGAAAAAAATCAGATTCCTGAAAATATGCATATCTACATAGTATGTCCTTATTTACTACAAAGTTTTATGAAATTCTGTCGAGGGGGTTGTGTTGTACCGACAAGAACATGACTGACGAAGGCTAAACCTCTAAGTTCAAAAGGGGTATTACTCCAGAAAAAAGAATCAGAATTTCCTGCAAATATGCATATCTACACAGTGTGTCCCTATTAACTACAAAGTATCGTGAAATTCAGTTCTGAGTTTGAATAGGAGTTGCGCTGGCAAATAATTTCAGTAATATATTAATTTTCGCCAAACGTCTGAATTCCAAAGGGGCATGAATTTCCTGTAAACATACAAATCGTACACGGTATGATGTTCTTACGAACTACGAAGTTTCATGAAATTCTGTCCAGGGGTTAAAGAGGAGTTGGACTGTCTAAGTTAAAGAAAGACACAGGTCCCACAAAAAAATAAGATCAGACTTTCCTGCCAATATGCACATCTACACAATATATCCCTATTAACTACCGAGTTTCACGAAATCCTGTTTAGCAGTTTCAGAGGAGTATCACTGACAAGAACTAACTTGACGGACTGACTGACGGACGGGTCAAAAACATTATACCCTCCGCACTCGATACTCCTTCACAAAAGGCTCCAGGGTAAAAATAGAGAGAAGCTAATTCATTTCAAGTTTCAATTGTATTTCTTCCTTCTTAAAAATTTTGGATGAAAATTGCTTGTTTACTACAGTGCAGTTCCTCCACTACGCAATTTAAATACATTTTTAGAGTTATCTCGCTTTCAACACAGAAATGCTATTCTACCTTATCAAAACGTACGTACCCTTTGAATTGTAATACACATATTTTTCAGAACAGATGAAGTGTTATTCTTGATATTTATGTCGTATTTTATCCTATCCCCAGGAATATAACCAGATTTATCTAATTTTAGCTGAATGTCCACCGATCCACTGCGACAGCAGCAAGACTTCGCAGTACATTCTTTCCTGATGTCTAATGGAACCTGAAAAGAGAAATCGATGTTAAATCTTTCATGTTTATTTGTCAATTTTAAGAGATGTCTGGCCATTACCAATGAGACGGAATGCCTGGTGTCAACGGATTATTGAATTCTCCGGGGAATTGTTAACATCATTCTTATGGAAAAACTTTTTTTTTCAAACACAAAACATCATCATTTGGGATTAGAAGATGATTATAATAATTATACAAGTCACCGTGTTCCCAAGCCGTTCTTAAATGTTGAATATTATATCGTTACACATGACAACCGTGTAATTTACCTAGATCTCTGGGCACCATCTTAGAAAAGAAAGAAAAAACGACCAAACATATATTCAAAAATTCTTAAAAGTAAGATCAATACCACTTTTATTTTATTTGAAGAAGAAAATGATTTGCCAAATTATATTTTTGATCTTATAGTCATAACTCTTTCTGTAAAACGGACCCCTGACCTTTTCGTTAAGCTCCTGCTATCCAAGAATAAAAAAAGTTTATTTATTAAACCTTTATAAATATAAAGAAAATTCAATTTCTTTGCATTAGGTTTTAGTATATTTGATTTTTTTAGCATACCGATTCTTTAAAATTAAACTCTGCATATCACACAATACTCTATAAATACAATGTATGTGAAGACGTAGGGTTTCCCATACAAAAAATATATAAATAATTAAATATACAATACAATTACATGTATGACCGTCGCAAAGCACGGTCAAAATGTACGATCCACTCCCATTCTAATAGGAGAGAGCTTTAAGCGGACTCCGGACCGTGGCTTGAGACGATGTACAATTATAGTAATTTTAAAACCCTTTGGAATATTTACTGCAGATTTACGTTTGCATTTTTCCTACTTGCAGAGGAGAGCATGTTTAAAAAATATTTTCGATATTCGGAGAAGCTTAAAAACATTATAAAGCCTTTTTTACGTAGTAGAGTATCATTTCACGTCAAGCAGAAAAATCTAACTTTTGCATTAATAGATCAGAAATGAATTTGAATTTCTGTGCATAAATAAACACGTATTTGTTATGCATTAATTAATTTGCATTTAAATGAAAGCGGAAATGATATTCACTATTAGTATCATTTGGATAGGGGGATAGGGGGGAAGGGAAGTGGTCAAATGAATGCTCTTAGACTAGACTATCCTCAGCCTGGTCAAAATAAGCCCATCCTTCTTTTTCCTGATGATTAGAGGGTAAAAGGGTTAGAGAAAGGTCTCAATAAGATACATTGTAATACTTCTAGATTTGATTCGGTTTTCCCTTATTTCCTCAAATACTTAAATTGGTAAATCTTACCAGAGCTTCAGGAATAGTCTTTAAACTGAGGGGTCGGAGAACATCAAACCATTTTGTCTTTGCGATGTCAGGGCTATATGCAAAACGCCGTCCAATCTGTACGTGACAGTGATAGATCACGTGACCCATTCCGTTGTGTTCTGAAAATGAAGAAGGCATATTCTCTGGAAAGTCCACTTCAAAAGGGTACGTGTGGTTTCCAGCCTCCAATATCCCCTCGCTGTCTTGGTCCGCTGAAATAACGAAGAATGATGTTTAGGCCTAAATGTGGCAAATACATCGATCCTGTATATACATCTTCTTGTCCATACCTTTTAACCATAAAGAACCTAATATAAACACTGAAATATCCTTATAAAGATTTTTTTTTTTTGGATAAGAACATAATCTGTTGAAGGTAAAATAAGGAGAAATATTCGTTTCTTAATTTTTTGGTGAAAGTTATTAAACATAAGTGTTCTTATGAAATTACTCAATGTTTTTCTTCTTACGTTTTAACTTTGAATTTGCTTTGTCGGCATACTACATGCCTATACTGGCATAATTATTCAGCAGCTGTGTGACAAAAGATTCAAGAAGAGGAGATCCAAGAATTCTTATAAAAATGGAACCCACACTACTAATAAAATAAAATGTCAATGACTATTTATTGGCGACTTTATAACGACTTTATTTTTTAATCGAACTCTCAGAATGTTAGAATACCTTCGTACAGAGTTAGCAGCTCATTGAGGTAGACTTCCTTATCGCCATCATCAGTGTTGTAACCCAGACCATAGCTGTAGTCTGTGGAGTGCACGGCTGTGTGCGTCTGCGCAAGACCATGAAACCGGATCTTAACGTCTGCAATTTCAAAATATGACGTGAGAAATATTATAATATTTCAATGACATCATATGTAGTCTTTTTAAAAGTGTATAGTTTACTGGCGTGAGGGTACTGTTTTTCAAGGTAAAACTTAATATCTGCCAACAGAATATCGCAGTAAAATTGATCATGTCTTATACTCACAATGGACTTCAAGTGAAGTTTGCAAGTTAACTTGTACATGACCCTTGACCGTCATCCCCGGCCTTAGCTCATCATGATCGAATATAATGCCAACTCGAGCCTTATCATACCCTTCAATTTGGCCTACAAGAATACAAAAAAAAAAAAAAATCACAATTAGTACAAAACACTTGTAATGCAAGAGCAATCTGAAGTGTAAATTTAACTTGCTTATACATTTAATTGAATTCTTGGTGTCGTATAATTGTTTGGTCTAAGAATTGGTAATCAAAGCTGACAAATCTAAATTACCTACCTTTGATGTTTATCATTTTGAAGGGTTATTGTAATCAATGTTTCACTCACGATATCTTCTTAGATTGTTAGTTAAAGCTGAAACAATTTTCAACAATGATAAATCTCAATCATGCAGTTCGGTTAGTCTTAAAACCCCACGTTTTCAAATGTACCGTATATTACTTCAAACAACACCCGGGATAGTCCTACATTTCTCTCTGTGTACATTCAATATACAACATTTTGTGTACATCAGCCGTCAGGTTTAGTTCTGAAGATTCTTGAAGTCCACTTCCACAAGATTATAAATGTAATGAAGGAGATTAATTTGTTTATTAACTACAACTTATTAATGGGCAACGTGTACTGTACTACAAAATCATTTAAAAAGTCCATTTGACACTCACAGTGAAGGGTTAAAAATGATATTACTTGGCATGCTTACACTAAAAACAGATTAATGTACGTTAAAAATAGCAATAACAACAATGCATTCCGTACATGTAGAAGCGTTTTAAAGTCGCAATACATTGCCATTTCATACTCGCTGATCATGAATTCATAAAAATGAAATAGATCCGACACATCGATGGAATGACTTACTTCTCAATGTTTTCATGGTAACCAACAAAGCTGTTGCCTTGGCGATTCGAAATGGAAAAAACAAAAATGATTTGGAATCTGGATGCGTCTGCTTCGTTGTACACAAGAGTATTTCCGTGGATCAATATTATGTCGTTACTTGATACACATGGCGTCGACAAGATCGAACAATTTAATTTAAATGCGGTCCTCTACTCCGCCTGCCGAGGCGTGAAAGGCTGGCGCACCGAACAATCTTTAAACGCCCGAAATTGTTCAACTTCGACCCTTTATATTGCTGCATATGATATATTCTTTGAAGTGTTTAAACAGGTCAATCAATCATTACTGAGATAAAGACACAGAACCAAGGGTAACTTTGTATCTATAACCTCAATGAAAACACTAATGCCAATATAATGCTGAATCATTGATGAAGGCAAGACAGACGAAATCATTAAAAACATATAATTAGTGTTGTTCTTCTGTCGTCTTATTACTAGTTTGGGGAAGAATGTTTAACCACCAAAGTATAGATTAAAATACTTTCATGATTTAAAAACATTTTTTTTCATTATAAGCTTTTCATGAAAACAGTATATTAATATTTCATATGTGTTCTTGGCATTTTTTAAATCAATATTAAATTTTGCTTAAACAAGGCACTGCTTGCCATAGGATGCTAAATGCTTTGACGTATATACATGTATATACATTTGTAAGAATAATAGAAATATTTAGGTGATTGTAGCAAGGATAAGAAAAAATGAACCCCCCCCCCCGCCCCAAGAAACATAAAATACCGTAATCTTTAGAAAAAAATTAACACTTGTTTGTGGACAGGGCCACATCCTTCCACTGACTGTGTTCATCCGAACGAATTTCGTTTTTCCCATAAATTATCCTTCTAACAGTGTGTTCAATCTAAAAAAAAAAAAAACTAAAATATATTTGAATCAAGGTTTTATCTTCCAGTATGAAGTTTCATCATATTTGAAATATGTGCGTTTTATTGAAATGTTTATAACTTTTTTAAATTTTGTTTTTTCAACGTTAACGTTTTACGTAGTATCACTATAAAATTAACGCCATTAAGATACATCGAGGTGTCGAATCCCCTAGTCGTATGATAAAATCTGGCTCCAATATTGGGAATCCTGTCTGAGATTCGGTGTCGTAATTCGGACCACTAATTATTTGTCAATACAGTGTATTACACAAAACGAGGGTGAATTCCCTACATAAGTAGTGCATACCTCCATCCACCTTTTTTTTTAAAAAAGTATCGACCTGATATACACATGTACTTGTTAGACACGTTTTAAAATTATAACTCAAGGATTCGTTCAGAAAAATTCGACATCAGTGCCATTTTAAACAATTTTTAAGCGTTTGAAGTGGGTCGATTAGTTAGACCAATTATTACATTTCAGAGTTCGATTCCTTTCCTTAAAAATGATAGTGCATATTGCGTTCAGTAACTAAAGAGGATTAACCCCTGTGGTGAAGGAAAGAAATATAATTATTAAACTGCTCTTTCAGTCAAAGCAGAGATGTACATACTATTACAAAAATACGAATATATATACTTGCCAGTTCCGAATATTTTTTTATTTAAATTTTCTTGAAAACATAGTGAAGGGTTTAAATCTTTCTTACTAGGTAAATACAATAAAAGGATGAATATACTCCCGTGTATTGTATTTGTAACATCTGCATAATATTATTTTCCACAGTAATAACAATTTGAGATTTGATCACGCGCAAGTGCAAGTCATAGAAAACGAAAGTGTGTAAACAAATGCATCTAAATCAAAATTTTCAGTGTGTTATCGATTCAGATTGAGTATGTTATCAATATTTAGGATAATTGTAACAAGTTAAAATATTAAAATAAACAATAACTGGCTTTTAAATGAAATTATAACACCCAAACTAACTACGTAATGTTTTCCTAGTTTCAAATCATAAATATTCGAAGTTCGAAAAAGTCGTTTTACGGGATGCAAAATCCTGAAAAGCTGGCAGAAGTGAAGATATTACCAAAACAAATTACAAGCAAAGATATTCCAAGAAAATTCTGCCTTCCGAGTCAGAGATGGTTGATTTGATTTTATTAAAGCATATTACGAAAGTTTATCATAAAATGCTAGGGACGTTAAACAACAAACAAATTTGTAAATTAAACATAAAATGCTAAATTTTTCATACCCCTTTAGTTTTTTTTTTTTGTTTGGGGGGGGGGGGGGGGGTCATATAACTCGACAAGAAATGTTTCTATACTTTATGTAGAATTTTTTAAAGGCATATTTCATCAATCGATTTAATTTATTGGATCCGCAACAGTAGAGGGCGCTTGATTCAATACTGAATTTGAAAAATGAATTCGAAACTAGGAAAATAAGGGGGGGATTGACATCTCTCTGCATGTACCATTCATATTTTGGGAATTTTGGTAACACTTATTTGAAAAGCATAGAAATGCAAATTGAACAAAAACCTAGAACATTTAAAACTTCGATTATGTAGGTTGAGTGCACGACATAACAACAAACTGATTCGCTACCGATACCGCACCTAAAACGACTGTGTACATGTACGTCCCTGGTCAAAAACAAGTAATTTTTAACAACTGCTTGATACATTCCGAAATTCATCAAAAGCTATTAATGATCTTATATTAAAAACCTCAAAAATATAAAATTGTAGACTTCAGAAATACTAAATTACCAAGGTCTGGCCATAGATGGTCCAGCTAAACATCAAATTTGACCACCATTACTACTTATGATCACGTGATGTTTGACAGACATTACGTAATATTTACGTCTGGTGAGTAAATTTAGATTAAATATATTATAAAAACAAAGAAGATTCGAGTCAATGTGATATTTTGAACATTTAAAGCAAGATCACCTTACCGGTCTGGCATTGAGTTGGTTGCACAAAACAATTAGATCGGGGTCGGAATGTGTTTTCTCATCTAAATATCGAGTCCGATTGTATTTACGTTTTACGAAACATGACATGATAAAAATATTTAGGACACTCAGCCACCGTCTTGTTAACCTAAGACGGATTTCTTTGTTAACAGTGGGAACTGCTGTACTAAGGAAGTTACATATATATGAAAGAATGACATCTGTCACTTTAGAGTCCCTAAATTTTGACAATTTAGCCCTCCGTTCCCTTCCTATTGACCCAGAGAAGGAAAACTTTATACGACAAGTTTCAGGTGCGTGCTTCTCGAAAGTAAAACCAACGCCAGTATCCAACCCACAGTTAGTCGCAGCTTCAGTTCCTGCACTGTCACTCATTGATCTCGACGCAGCACAGATAGAAAGGGAAGACTTTGCAGAATTCTTCAGTGGAAACAAGCTGTTGCCTGGTTGTGACACTGCTGCACACTGCTACTGTGGTCATCAGTTTGGGTATTTCTCTGGACAGCTGGGAGATGGAGCTGCAATGTGAGTGATATATCAAGTGTGTTTATGTTAAAAGCTGGTTAAAAGAGATCAATTTCATTGTTCAATGACAATTTTTAGGTCTGTTCTATATTATTTGGATCAACATGTAACTGTGCATGTACCTTTGCACAATATTGAATATATATGGTACAGAGGTCAAAGATTATGCCTTGCTTTTGCATTCGCATCAATTTTTTTTACTCGTAGGAATTATTTTGGTATATAAGTATACACAATTTAATGTGATTTAAAATAATCCGTTTTGGGCATTTCAGTTGAATAATGTATTGACTGGATACACAATGTAGACATCACTTGAATATACTTTGATATTCACACAAAATATGTAAAGATTTATCTCTCATGGCTTCAGTCAACATGATGAAAAAAAATACATCCTTAAATTTTGATTTTTTTTTTGTCAAAGGTATCTTGGTGAGATTGTCAACAAATCTGGGGAGAGATGGGAGATACAGTTCAAAGGTTCAGGACTGACTCCGTATTCTCGTTCAGCTGATGGCAGGAAGGTTCTCCGTAGTACCATCAGGGAATTCCTGTGTAGTGAGGTAATTCTGTCACTAAAAATCAGATGGGTTAACATTAAAAATTCAGAATTAATATGTGAATGAAATTAATGTGCAAACAGTGTATTTTGAATATTGCAATGTAAGAATCAGGAACTGTCATGCAATGATTGTCTTTTTTGATCATCTTCACCTTTCAAGAGTCCTTGTCAATGTCAGTTGAAGCCTCAAGTTCCAAGTATTTTTAGTGGTAAATTTCAACTTTTACTGTAATACACTGTACCATCAGTTACATACATGTACAAATGTTAAATATATGATACCTTAATCACCATTCATAAATTAATGATGTGCATGATTCATCTTCAGGCCATCCATCACTTGGGAATTCCCACAACAAGAGCAGGAACATGTGTCACATCTGACTCCCGGGTGATCAGGGATGTATTTTACGATGGAAATCCAATACAAGAGAGATGCTCAATAGTGCTCAGAATTGCTCCAACATTTCTCAGGTCTGCATATTTGAATGATGCTTAAACTTAACTTTTGTTGGTCAGGCAGGTTTGATCACTGGTGGCCAGATAGCTCAGTTGATAGAGCACCTGCCAGGAGTTTAGAGGGCCCCAGGGTTCAAATCTTGGTCTGGTCTGTCACATTTTTTTCCTTCCCGGTCTATGTGGAGCAGAGTGGATCAGAAACCCTTGACTTGGGAAGATGCTTGTTACATTCTTAGTGTAGTTGAGTTCCTGAGAATGATTTTTTTTTACATGTCTATATATGTATACATGTAAGATATACATAATTTTGAATTTGATGTTTATTCATCTTATTTCATGATCAAAGTCTTGTTTTTCATTTATGAGAATTTTTTTCCATTAATAGGTTTGGGTCATTTGAGATTTTCAAACCAACAGATTCAGAAACAGGAAGGAAGGGGCCAAGTGTTGGAAGAAATGATATCCTGACCCAGATGTTAGATTATACTGTCCAGACATTTTACCCTGAAGTAAGACTGTAAAAGCCATTACTCTTTATTTTTCCTCTATGGAAGTCGATCTCTACCCATCTAATTGTACTTTCACTAATGAAGGAAAAAAAGTTGATTAAAATAGAAAGCACACTGTATTATAGTAAATAACATGTAAATGACAAGGAAGCACAATATTGTGGTTTTACAGTTGTTATAAAACACCAATCTTTGTTGCTGGTTGAGTCAGACCATGAAATGAGTTGATCTAGAGCTACAAATTTTACAATAGTAAACAACAGGTAGCTGTCAATGATTTTGCAAATTTCAAGAAAACTTTTTTTTTTTGGAGGGGGGACCACAAAAGTTGATCCCCATAAAAATTAATTAAACCATAGTATTTGTAAATACATGTATATAGAGTTTAATATGTGTTCATTAGATATGGAAAGCTCACAGCTCTGACAAAACAACAACTTATGTAGAATTCTTCAAGGAGCTGACAAGAAGAACTGCAAGATTAGTAGCAGACTGGCAGAGTGTAGGCTGGTGCCATGGGTAAGGACATTTGTACAATGTATCAGGCTTATACTGTCATCTTTGTGTTAAACACATCAGTAGATTTGATGTAAGATTTGAAGAACTTTAGAATCAATGTTCGAGAGGATGTAATTTTTAGGTAAGGCAGGGGGGAAAAATGTAAAATGGGAATTTTATGTTTACATGTACTTTTGGATACATATTTAGCATAATTTATTTGTTTTTCTTTTGCTGCAGAGTTCTGAACACAGACAACATGAGTATTGTTGGAGTGACCATTGATTATGGTCCATTTGGTTTTATGGACAAATATGACCCAGACTTTATTTGTAATGCCTCAGGTAATTCAAGTTGACCTACATGTACGAGGGGTGATCAAAAAGTTCGCGAACTATCTCTATATTTACAAAACCACAATTCCGATCAGAATGAAATTTGGCACACATATAGTCATACACATGTTCTATAAATAACATATGTAAAATAATGTTTTGCTCCGTGTTTGTGATGTCACAATGTGAAAATGTAGGTCACTTGTGACAAAAAATGGTTGACTCAGTCGTACTCAAGCAACGACCGGCTGTAAAGTTTAATGTATATCTTGGAAATTCCTTTGCAGTAGAATATGATAATTTGTACAAGGTTTATGAAGACAAAAGACTTACCAGAAGTTCAATCATTAAATGGATTGATTGTTTAAGTAAAGACAGGGAGACGGTTAAAAATGATGTTTGTTCTGTTGCCCAGCGAAAGCAAGCCGGGGAAAAGATGTGTCCTTAGTTGAGTAATTTGTTATGAAACATCGTCAAGTAACAATTAGAAAAATGGTTGTATATCTTAACAATAATATAATTATTAAAGCTCTAAAATATCGTTTACTTTAGACTTTAAACATATGAGATATGATAAAAAGAAGGTGCCCATACTTTATCCACATTGGATAAAACGACTCTCTCGAGACAGAGGACTCGGGTTTTGATGGGTCATCATACTAATTGTGGGAAGGGATATCCTTATCCATCCATCCTATCGCCGAGATTTGGACATTTCTGACAGATGGACTGTTTTTGTTATGAAAAATAACTTGCATGGTAAGAAATATAAGACTCGGAAAAATCTTTTAGCTTCTCTGAACAGACTGCTTCAGAGTATGTCACATGACTGCCTGGATCACGTGATTCGCGCATGGGAAGATCAATGGCAGATGTGCATTAAAATCGGAGAGGACTACTTTAAAAAATAATAAACACTGAAACTTCATTTTATTTTTTTTAAAGAAGTTATTCAATTAGTTCGCGAACTTTTTGATCACCCCTCGTACATGTACTTACTATACTCTCACAATTCAGTTTATACTGTATTTGATGATAAACTTTTTAAAGCATTCATAGATTACACAATATACACGTGATGGCAATTACACATGTATATTGTGTAATCTGTGATTGCTTTAAAAAGTTTTGTCCATGACATTCTGCAAAGTAAACTCTGCTCATCTCAACCATCTAAATGGTTTTACTGCACAGATGATGGTGGAAGGTATACATACATAAAACAACCCCAGATTTGTAAGTGGAACATGAAGAAGTTTGCGGAGGCTATTCAGGGGGTGGTTCCCTTAGCAAGGACAATTCCAGAAACCAAGATATTTGATGAAGAGTATAGTGACTACTACACAAAGAAAATGAGGAAAAAGGTCTAAAAACTGAGCCTTTTCTGAGTATAGTCTAAAATGAATTGTCATTTTAAGTGTGTTTGATTTTTATTGAATGATAATTTCTGCCATCTGTTTATGTATTCTCTTGGTTCATTTTATAAAATATTAATAATACAATACCAAAGTAATCTGTTGAAAACTATAAAGCACAAAGTAACAGGTACTTGTCATTACATGATGTGGATTGTTCACTTGTAGTTTGGTTTGATCAACAAAACAGATGAAGAAGATGGGTAAGATTTTTATTTCAATAGTACATGTATTTAATGTGTGTTCGTGATCCAACTGATTATTTTTATTCATTGGTTAATTTAATTGTCATGGACAGAAAGATGACAGGATCTTTTCTGGACACTATGCAGAAGACTGGAGCTGATTTCACTAACTGCTTTCGCTGTCTGAGTCGCCTCCCTTTGCCTGGCTCTCCTGATTACGAAGATAAATTACAGGAGGTTATTCAGTACATCCTTACCCAGTGTTCAACTGTAGAGGAGCTGAAGAAAGATTATAGACCTAGAATGAATCCAAGGTAAGCACCAGAGGAATTGGGGGGAATATAGAAAAAAATTATAAACTTGTTTGTTAATTGCAATGTATATCATTTTCAGGCAGTTTCAGATGATTCTAATGTTGATGGAAACAAATCCACAGATTGCTTCTTCACTAGGAAGAGGGTTTTCTGCCTTTACCCAAGAAATAGAAAGGCTTGAAAAATACAAAGAATTAGAGGTATACAAAAAATCACTCTTTGAGTCAGTTCCATGTACATAAATACTGATTGTCTGATTCAAAACATAAAATCTTAAAACCCCTGATTTCAAATAGTACAGATTCGTAATAGCAGTATAGCATTGCTTTTTAAGGAAAAAAAAATATGTCTGCTACAAGACAAGTTTATCCATTTAAACAAATAATTCCTCAGAAGTAGATTTTTTTAAGGTTGGCCAACTTTCATTTAAATTTACAGAAAATTACAGAGGAGGACAAGAAGAAAGAGAACACAGAACTATGGACAAGCTGGTTCAGAAGTTATACTGATAGGTTGAAGAAAGAAGTAGAGGGAGTGACTGACTTAGAGGCAGCCAATCAGAAGAGAAAAGAGGTCATGAATGCTACGAACCCAAGGTCAGGTTCTGTGTGTTTTTAAATTTTGTTGAGTAACATTTAAGTAATATTTTCAAACTGATGATAAATACATTGCATTTTTGTTGAGAGTTAAAACATTTAGACAAAACATGCCACCTCCAAGGATGATAATTTATAACTTGGTTTTCAGGTTTATTCTCAGGAACTACATAGCTCAGAATGCAATAGACGCAGCTGAAAAGGGAGATTTCTCTGAGGTGCGTCGAGTGCTGAAGCTATTGGAAACACCATATAGTGATGAAACAAATCTGGAAAGTCTTCTTCAGAAGCCAATTGGTAAGACAATCCTAGCTCTGAAAACTCCTTCAGTTCACCCCATTTAGTAACAATTATACCATATGTCACAAATATTCAGTTTGTCAAGAAACATTTTTCAGATTTATAGGAAGAATATTTAAAATATTACTAGTTTTCCATATTATCTGGAAAATTTGCTGTGCACTTTCAAGTCTGTCAAGAATATTTTTAAATCACAAATACTTTGCCTATTGTGTGGAACTTAAGCGACCTAAAAAAAAGAATGAAATGCCATTTCAGAACTTATAAATTGTTTTCAAATGCATACCGTCAAAGTTACATCTATATAATAACAGTTAAAATGGAGTTGAATTTAATAAAATTGTGGTTTTATTAGTTTGAGAGAAGATCTTACCCCCAAACTGCGGGGATTTTTTTTTCATCGTGTGCCATTGGACTCACTTGGCCAAAAGAGAGTGTATTGCAAACCTATAGGGATGTTTGTTTACTATGTGTCTACAGAAAAGAAAGCTCAGATAAACAATTATCCTTAAAAATTGATTAGAAGTTACATTACATACAAGTATATAAGCTGTGTCCTGATTAGCTGCAATAATGTAGCCCTCTCCGATTTTTTATACCCCCGCTCCGAAGGAGAGGGGGGTATACTGTTTTAACCTTGTCTGTCTGTAACAAATTTTGGTCGCAGTTTTCTCAGCAACTACTCTTCGCAGATGCTTGAAATTTTAGCACACTCTTTGTTTAGGCATGCCATATGGTGGGAATAATTTTTGTATGAATCCAATGTCATTTTCCTGTTTATCTGTGCATCTGTCTGTACCATACATAACAAATTTGGGTGGCAATTTTCTCAGCAACTACTCATCGCAGATGCTTGAAATTTTAACACACTCTTTGTTTAGGCATGCTATATGTTGGGATTCATTTTTGTACAAATCCGATGTCAATTTCCTGATTATTACTGTGTATATCCATAACTGAACTTGTGTATTCACATCAGAGCAGGGGTATTATTAGTGAGCACTGGCTCACAGACTTCTTGTTTTTTATCTGATGTTTTCTGGAGAGGAAAAAAAAATTGAAGAGGGCTACATTATTGCCTCTCCTCCCCCCCCCCCCCCAAAAAAAAAAAATCAGAGAGGGCTACATTATTGCAGCTATATGTCATGGTGTCTTACATTGCAGAATTTTAGGTATATGCTTGCATCCTTTCAATCATCACTGGATACCAGCTTGTTGAATATTTTTCAAACACATGTACTTCAGTTCTTAAATGTACTTTATTTTTGTCAATTACACAACTTATGCCTATAAACGTCAGAAATGAGATCACATAACAAACGATTCTGACTTTCAAATACCACAACAGACTCAGGGTTTGTAAGAAGAGAGTGATATCAGAAACACCTGACAAGTAAAAGAGGTTAGGCATCCTGCTAATTTATCCTTAAAAGGAAAATGCATGTAAATTTAATTTTCAGTGTTTTATGCAATTTTTTATGCCCCCTTGAAAAAGGGGGTATATTGCTTCGCACATATTGGTCAGTAAGTCGGTTGGTCGGTAGACCAAGTGTTGTCCACTCAGTATCCTAGAACCCTTTGCTTGACAGGCATCAAACTTGGTACACTGGTTCCTCCTAGGGAGTAGATGAACCCTGGCAATTTTGTGGTCACAATATCAAGAGTCTAACAACACAGACACTAGACATAGGAAGATATTGTCAGCTCAGTATCTTGAGAACCATTTGCTTTACTGACATTGAATTTGGTACACTGGTACATGTACCCTCTTAGAAGAAAATTATCCCTGAAATTGAGGTCTAATAAAGATCAAACATATTATTATGTTTGCCCCTGACAAATAGTCTGAAATAGATGACCATTGGATTTCACTATCATTACAATGATTCTAAAGGACAAGATTCACTAAGTGCATTATTTGGCCCTGTGAATTTCTGAAAAATCAAAATTGCTGGCTTTTAATGAAAATACATTGAATTTTCCTTGGATCCTTAGTGACTGCATATCTTTTGAAAATGACGTTATTTTCTCACTAGGTCCTGTATTATGACATCATGAATTGCATCATTATCCTCAAATCTAGAAAATTTCTTCAAAAATGGCCAAAGATTTGAGCTCTTTTTTAATATTTTGCATAGTCTCCAACCTCTGGTCTAAAATGTTTAATTATATAATGAAAGTATTGTTATAGAGGGTAATAATCCATGTTTTATTTTTTAGACTGCAGGTTGGGCTCATATTTTAATTCTTCATTGAGGGTGCTCAAATACACAAATTTTCTTAAAAATTCAAGAACATTGCGATTTCACAAAGCTGTTTTTCAATACCTGGACTCTCAAAGGAAACTTTTTTATACAAAATGAAAGCACCATGTCTCTACTTTATATTGGTGTTTGAAATAGGACATTCGGACTTGATCATTTAATTGGTATAGGGCCATTTTATAGGTAAAGTGAACCTAGCTCCTTAAAGTTGTTCCCTTTTTTATATCGCCACAGAAAGGGGGGGGGGGGGGGGGCATATACATGTGTTTCTCACATTTCTTGTTTTTACAAGAGATTTATCTTTTTACAGAAGTTTCCAAAGGGGCAACTAAGGAAGATGATTCCAGTGGTGATCTACCAAGGACATTTGTAGGACAGTATTATGATGATAAGCCACCAATGTGGTCAGCTGACCTGAGGGTCACTTGATCCTCATAAAACCTCACAGACTTTGCCTGTTCCTGAAGACTGGACTCTGATGTCATATTTCATAAAACTGGTTTACTTCAGACGTATATAATAAGTGGTAGTTATAGCGAGATACTGATGATTCAATCTTCAAAATCACTATTTTTAAACAGTAGTGATCAAAATAAGAATTATCTAATAACAATTTATTGATATTCCCCTTTTTAGGGGATTGTTTCTGAATTTCATTTTGATATTATTTCTCTATATTCAATGCAGTCTGCACCTCTGAATGTGATATTTATGAGAACTTAATGAAATTGTATGTGATTTAAGGGCTGTGTAAACATGTCTTCCACAACAGTTAATTGTAATGAGACTTGGCAGCAGTGATTTCAATAATTAGGAACAGGCTGTCACATAGTTCTGTGTGGTATTAACAGAAAGGGATATTATAATATTACATGATTTAAAGAAATGTAACATTTCTTTTTTATGATGGTGTTGAATTCAACCTTATTAGGTATTCAAAACTTGAACTTCAAAATCATGTATAACTGTAGCCAAGAACTACTGATTTTTGATAAAGTTTTTTTTAAATTTTTTTTTTATTTCAACTCTTTTGGTCCTACATAATGGTCAAAATGTGACTGGAACAATATTTATTTTTCAATGAACTGTACAAACTAGATTGGTTTAAAATACATTTTAGAGAAAAAAATTTATCGCTAAATATTTTGAAATGTTAGGCATATCATATTGTATATTATTGGAGTATGGTATTAATTTTTTTTTAAAATATCGTATTTGTTATATTGTTGATGGATCCAATGTAAGATTTTGGAAACAAGTTACTTTGATATTTGTGAGTATCATTGATATTAAAATTTTATATACTGTAAATATTTACAAAATAATGTATTTTGTTACTTAACCTTAAGATGAGATTGTAAAAATGAGGTCCTGTTCGCAGTAAATGCTGGTACAAAAATGATCCCTCACTGCTCAAAGGCTGTCCCTTACTGCTCAATGGCTGTGAGTGCCAAGTACAGGTCTAAATTTGCAATTTTTTCTTTATAGTTAACTCATGTATTATTATAAGCAATGAATATCTGTTGGAGAGTATTTGAAGGATTTGAAGATTAGAAAGGACCGAGTTTAATTTGGGTGGCATACCACCTATCTAAAATCTGTTCCCTCCCAGCTACTCTTTCATTAGAAATGTTATTTCAATGTTTATTTTGTAGCTAGTACACCAAACAATTATTTTTTAATTAAATCCTGATTTTCCAGAGCATACATTTAAATTATAATTGTAATGACATAAAACATCTTTTAAAAACACACAACGAAATTGATGCTTTTAAGCTTTATTCCTAAATTTTATGAACGAACAACTTAACGTTTCTATGTGTACAGTTTACAGTAACTTATAACAAGAATTATATATAATACCGGTACATTGTAACATATATTTGAAATTCAGTTCATAGTACAAACGATTTTTTAGATACATCCGAGTTCCGCGAGACTTTTTCAAAGCCCCTTGCAGTGTCTATGCGAGACGAATATTATAAAACGTCCTTCACTACTGGCAATAATCTCAGCGAGATTCGTCGAGACTAAGAAAAATTAAGAGACGTCAGTACAAATTATATATATTAAATTTTTAGTCTCTACGAATCTCGCTGAGATGACTTGCAATTGTATTAAATAACTGTTCTTATATTGCAAATTTCAAAATTTTCAAAATTATAGAAAATGCGCAGCTGAATAACTCAACACGAATAGGGCATCTATGACGATATGTCAATGTGTACCTTTCTCGAGTTTATTGAGTCAAAAAAATTCTGGAAAAAGATAATCTTAATTAATAGATACCAAAATATCAGAGAAAATTTAGTTATGATTGAGATTTAATTTTCACTTTCTTATTTGCAGAACGATGGACATTTTCACCTATGTTCGTAATAATTACATCCGAATTAATTTTGTGCAGAAAAAGTCCTGTACATAGGTATTCTTTCTCTTTCCCTTAGAATCAAATAAATATCCTTTCCTGGAGGAAAAAAGTTACAATACTATGAAAATTTGGAAAGGGGGATCACTTTCCCTGGAATGAGGAAGTTATAATTCAAACCTATCACGTGCAGTGAGAAGCCTCAGTATGTAGGAGTCAGGAGGCACTATATACATGTAACCATCGGTTCCCGTGGGGGAAGATTCGCCATCATAACATAGTTATCCTTTACCAGTTTACAGGAGGAGTCCTCCTGTGGGAGAAGTCTCACTATGTGATATTATAAAGTAGAACATAACAGAAAAATATTCAAGTTATTCGAAGCTTTGCCTATCTATACATGTATATCCCACCAAACCATTGCCAGAACAAAGACATGGAATTCCTGTTAGGGAACAAATAAATAGTCTGGAGGAGGAATCTCGCACAACTGAGGGTACTCTGACTCGTTGTCTTTGCTGTACCAGGAGAAATTTGTCACTGATAGGGCGATGTGTTCTTCGTCTTCGTTTGTTCCCTCGCCTTCAGCCCAGTTAGTATACTTTAGAGGTGTTCTTGCATCACTGTAGTACCATCTGTTTCCCAGTTGTTCTCCCTGGATGAAGACAAAACCCCCAGAGGTCTTCGTATCTACTGAAATAAGAATAAAAACAACCTTGTGCAAAATTCATGACTGTAAATATTTTATTGCAGATTGGAATGTATATTAAATGTTCTCACATCTCTGGAATCATCATCTGTCTGTCTGAAAGTATGCCTTTGAATAACAAATCTACGGAAGCCGGTTGGTGCCAGGAAGAAAAAATATTTTATCTGGCGGCCGCTAGATAAGTTTCTGGCGGCCGCCACATAAATAACTGGCGGCCGCCAGATAAAAAGATCTGGCGACCGCCAGATAACTTGTCTGGCGGCCGCCATATAATTTCTTGCGGCCGCCAGGTCTTTTTATTTGGCGGCCGCCAGATAAAATATTTTTCTACCTGGTACTTACCGGCTCCGTACAAATCAAATATCTTTTAATTAATCCCATTTGATATTTTGTTTAACTATTTTAATTTTTGCTACATGTTAGTAGTACGTACTAGAACGTAAGTAATCCTCAATTTTCTGCTGTTTGGCCGGGCTGTCGATTCTGGCAAGGTTAGTCTTTCTGTTCACGTTGTGGGATGTCATGGCGCTGCTTGCTCGGCAATTCAGTGTGGCAGCTACATGGTTGAGTTTTCCCGGAAAATATTGGAAACAGAAACAGAGATCCGATGTAAATGAGTACTCCTTGGGGCAGAAAGTTTCGTCTGGACCGCATTCTGATAAAGGCAAAAATAAGACAGATGCTATTGATAAATCTTAAAGACATGAAAAATACAGTAAAACACGCTTATAACGAAGTGCCAGGAACGGGCGATTTTGCTTCGAATTCGTTATAAGCGTAATTCGTTATATCCGTTAAGTAACAAAAAATTTTAAAGTCGGGGGATTGGAAATCACTTCGCTGTAAGCATCAATTCATTATAAGTGTGTTCGCTATGAGCGTGTTTTTTTTTTCACATTAGTCTCCATTTTCGCCAGGCAGTTCAATATATATTTTTTTAAAAATGAGTACGGGTGAGTTAAGGATAATTTACAGATTTGAAATTAATAATGTACAGAAATTGATCATATTTTGGATGTGGATTCTTAGTACTCATTTTTAAGCAACAACCTTGCAATTCTATATTATTACAAGTATTATATTTGGTTTCACGCATTTCAACATAATGTACTCTTTAACTGGTTTTATCAGTTTATCTTTCCGTGGAATACAAACATTTGAATATTAACCTACAGGAATTTGAAGTTCACAGCTGACGAAAAAACTCCTTGTTCATTATCACAATGCAGTATACGTCCATCAGTACAGTATTTTTTTTTAATATATCTTAGCCCAACCCTGGTACCTGAGCCCAATGGGCACAGAGGACACGAATTTCAGTTTTCGTTAAGAGTTAATTCACTGTTCATACATATAAATGTCATACATTGTGTCTGCTAGGTGTCCAAGGGTTAAGAAATGCTTTCAAATACAAAGAACTGTCACGGTAGCTCGATCAGTCGGTGGAGAGCTCGCTCCGTGATTGGAAGGTAGTGTTTTCGAATCACGGCTGCGACTGACCTAAGTCGATAAAAATAGGTAACAACAGTTACTGTTCCTTCGCCAAGCGCTCGGCACTTTGAAGTGAAAGTTGCGGGTCTTTCGGATGAGACCTTAAAAACCGAGCCCCGTGTCACGGTAGGCGTTGGCACGATAACGAACCCTAGACCTCACTGCTCAATGGTCCTAAGGCCAAATAAAAAAATATGTGTGGTTCCGGTTACCCGACCTTCCCTATTTTATACCCCAGCCCTAAACTTTTTTTTGGCAAATTTTCATATTTTTTCCGGAATTTTCCCCGATTTCCATCAATGGTTCCAGTTTAAGTTTTAGTTTCAGCAATGACGGCATCCTTGCAAAACATAGTGCAAGTGTTTAATAGTGTTAAATCCAAAGCAAGCTAGCATGTAGGTGTCCCCTACCAATATTGACTAGTATATTATCACACCACATCTAAATGTTATTTGCAAAGCAGTCATAGGTACTATTTAGAAAAAATTAAGAAAATCATTTTGTTAAAAAAAATCCCTACCTACCTACCCTAATTTTTTTGGAAGTGTAACCGGAACCACACATATTTTTTGTTTGGCCTAAGTGCCGAGTAAAGGTCTAAATTTGAAGCCATTCACCGGTATATGGTGACCTCTCTATATGAGTGAAAAATTAACGAATGGGACGTCAAACAACATACAATTAATCAATCAAATATAATGCATTTCATTAAATAGTTTTCTGAGTATTTATTCCATCTAAAAATGAATGGACTAAGGAGGAGGTCACAATTTTGGGACAGGGTGTATTTTTCATTATCATGATAAATAAACTACATCTTCTAGATTTCCAGGAGTAAAGTACAAGTTTTTAAAGACATGATGCCTTTCAATATATGATCTAACTAGCCAAACCACAGAGTTTAGAACATACTTTATAGAAACACCTTGTCTGCTATTTTTCCAAGAAGCAAAGAAGATTTTTGAAACATATCAAATGAATTTTCGATATGTGACCAAACTGGTTCCTCAATGGGTCTTGAACAACTCAACATCTTGAAAGAGGGCTTATTGTTCATTGTAATTATTTAAGGGTTCGTTTTGTTGCATTTCCATCCCGAACGGACAAAGGTGTGAGAAGCATACATTTAACAATTTTAAAATTGTAACAGCTAGATAAGACGACGCACGAGGGTGGACAAAACAACAATAGATTAGAGTTGTCAACGAGTATTAATAGATTGCCTGAATTAAAAAAAAAATTAGTCTGCCGTGGTACACTGCCAGAAGAGGTTTTTATATAAGCAGACAGGTGAGTAATAAATATCCAGGTACAGCATACGCAAAATCAACACGAGCAATATACCTTTTGTCCGGAGTGGGGCTGTTGCCATTTGTAAATTGGGAGAACGCATAAAATACAAGAAATAATACCCGAAGCGAGCGACAAAAAAGCGGCGGCGTAAATTGAAGATTTTTACAATGCTTGGATCTGTAGAGAGCTACAGTTCTGCAGCTATTGCCAAGTAGGACTAGAGACGATATGTACGCACTTCCAAATTGTATAAAAATGCGCATATTTTCCCGACAGACTGTTCTTCTATTCTAGACCTCTTTGAACATGAATTACTTACCTTTAATTATATGATAGTACACCCAGGGTGTTTTCTTGTCAAAGTCTCGCGACTCTTCTCGCTTTCTCTCGGCAATGTCGGACTTGAAGATTCTACACTCATGCGAGTCTTTATCGTATATCATTGAAATACAACCCTCAACTCTGGAGCAGGATCGGCTACATTCGATAGGACTTCGGGAGCTCTTTCCGGGAAAATAAGGTCGAAGGTCCAAAATATCACTCACTTTGACAGCCTTCTGTTTAAACATAAATGTAGCTATGCTGCCTGTAATTCCATTGTAATGCACGAGAAATAAAAGCCATCCAAAACCTTTCATGATTTTTTTATAATGAATTTCGTCCAATATAGAGATAGAGAAAGACAGAACTGACTTCATATTGCAGAAATGATACAAACTTACAAAAAATGCCAATATTCTGTTTATTTGACTCAACGGAAGACTAATATTTACACTGGAGCTAATTTGAAGATATGTTAATTTTACTTAAACACACCAAACTACATTTAGATGGCAATATTCGTATATGTTATTGATTGTACTGTAACTTTGGAAAGATAATGTAATCAATGTCAACATCCGAATCAAAATCATTCAATCATTCCCAGAAAACAAACACATTTTCTTTCTACACTTCTTTACAAATTAAGAGTAATAGAAGATATATGTTTTATATATAAAGTTTTATAATTATATAATATACAATCTTCAGAGTGTGTGTTTGTACATCATATGCTTAAAGGGTATACATGCTTTGTCGTTTGTGCATCTGTTTTCGTGTTTCATCTTGGTTTTGATTGACATTTTTAGAAGAGAAAGATCACCTGCTGGGTGTCTGACTAACAAATTGGATAGAAAAAAAGACAAAAATCGTGTTTTCCAATTTCAGACAGATCACCTTAATCATTGCCTGGGGGGGGGGGGGGGGGGTCACTTGTTTGTCTCAGCAAACCATACCTGTGTTTATTAGCCATCATTATCATACAAAAGTCAAGGCTACATATACAACTGTACTGTTAAACAGTTTTTTTTTTTTTTTTTAGAAATGAACAAAACAAAAACAAAAAGAACAAGCGTATAATGTGTGCAACTTTGTCAATAAAGCTTAAGTATTGTACATGTTGTACACATGAATAATCCTTTCGATTTTTTTTCAGAAAAAAGCATCAGTATTAAAACACCTTCATTATACAAGCATTCAGTGCAGAAATCTTTATGGTACATTATGGTAAATTGTGCAATTGCTTCAATAGGATCGATGCCTTCTCATTCTATCGCGCGCTGATTTCACAGATGAACTTGAGGTCTCTATAGTCCGAAACATCGTGCCATCTGTAGCCGGAACTGGTCATTTTCAGTGCGATACCCGACTGTCCATCAGGCTGGTCTCGCTCCGTGTTCCAGTTAAAATAAGTCAGCTTTTGGTTGTCGTCATAAACCCAATGGTCGTCCCTGGAGCGATAGCCTGCGATGCGTATCTGGTCGTCAGAATCCAGATTGGAGGACACGGTATCTATTAAAAATGACCACAATAGTCCAAATCTAAGTAGGTGGGATAGTTATCTAGGGTGTAAATTTGGTGAATTAGTTGTGTCATTATGTTTTAATCATTGGAATTACTAATAGATCGAAAACTTTACATCCTGTCAGAAATGTGCAATTTCTTCAAGCACAATTTTTATCTCGAGTCTGTGTCAAATCGTCAAATATAGACGCATGCTATCTTCGAAATAATCATATTATTATAATTATATGTGATTATATAAATTACAATACTTGCAATTATAACCATAGAGCAAAATATTTCAGAAACAGAAAAAGGCAACCCATTCCAGGATAATTTCATGTTTTGTATAAATGAAAATTAATTTCTTTTATTGGAGAATCCCCCCCCCCCCTCCATGAAGCAACAAATGCAATTGTATTCAGAGTGTATCTAAAATGATTTATTATTTTGTTTTTTTTTTTATGAATAAAGGTTATATATATATATATATATATATATATATATATATATATATATATATATATATATATGTGTGTGTGTGTGAGGGTGTGTGTGTGTGTGTGTGTGTGAGGGTGTGTGTGTGTGTGTGAGAGGGTGGGTGTGTGTGTGTGTGTTAATTATTTTGTTCAATTCAATGCATTTGAATTGATTTAAATTTAAATTAAATTTAAATTATATTTCCGGAATTCAGATTTATTTTACTAAAATAAAATTATGATATCACTGTATGTTTTGTATAAATGAAAATTAATTTCTTTTATTGGAGAATCCCCCCCCCCTCCATGAAGCAACAAATGCAATTGTATTCAGAGTGTATCTAAAATGATTTATTATTTTGTTTTTTTTTATGAATAAAGGTTATATATATATATATATATATATATATATATATATATATATATATATATATATATATATATATATATATATATATATATATATATATATATATATATATATATATATGTGTGTGTGTGTGTGTGTGTGTGTGTGTGTATGTGTGTGTGTGTGTGTGTGTGTGTGTGTGTTAATTATTTTGTTCAATTCAATGCATTTGAATTGATTTAAATTTAAATTAAATTTAAATTATATTTCCGGAATTCAGATTTATTTTACTAAAATAAAATTATGATATCACTGTTGTAAATTTTGAATTTACTAGGGAGAAGTAATTGTAAATATTGCATTTACCTCTCCCTAGTAAATTCAAAATTTACAACATAATAAAATGATTAGATCACCCCTTTCCCAATCTCGTGAATATACATGTAACACATGTAGGCATTTGATTCGGTCAGTTAATAAATGTAGATATTTCGAATTCACAGAAATGCATATTGACCTCGCATTTCGGTTATGCTTTTTGTGAAGCTTACATATGGGACGACTTCGTAAAAGGGAGCTCTATATTCGTGTACCATATATGTATATACAATAATATAGTGTAGAAGCTCATGTGATAAAAATATGTTGATTTGTAATCTTTTTTTTTTATTTTGCCCTTACTTGATTTCCTTGTTTCAAAAATAGTCATGCATATTAAAATATAACACCCCCTTCCAAAAAAAAAAGCAATAACAAAATAACAAAAAGTTTCAAATTTAAAAAGAATTTTAAAATGCGCATATATAATGTACTTGGTATATTGGGAATTAGCATCTGCATATACATGTACTAGTATTTATCGATAAACACAGCAAGTTACCATACCTAAGTAACTTTCAACTTCTTTTTGCTTCAGTTTTCTGTCAATTTTCACCAGGTTACCGCCATGAAATGTTTTACATTTTTCCAAAGCTTCCTCGTAATTCTTGTCATCGAAGAAAACTTTGATGCAGAAGTCCAGCAAATATATATACCGGAAGTCAGACTGTTTATCACATTCCGCTTTTGTAATAGATCCATCTGGAACTAATAAATAAAACATACACACATTTTGAGTTAGATAATATCTTTATTACATTTAACGATGAAATACTGGAATTAATCCATGCAATTAAATTAATATTTTTACAGACTTTTTTTGCACTATGAAAATGTTTATTTTCACTGTTTGAAAGAACTAGTAGCCTTATAGGGTCTTAAGGAAATCCGAAGAAATAAAATAAACAGAAAAATTGATGTTTTTTATTGGACTTGGATTTTATTTCATTCATGGGAAAGTTTTTTTGCTTTTTGTTTTTTTTTTTGGGGGGGGGGGGTTTGGGGGGGGGGGTTGGTTGTTGTTTTTTTCACGCGTTCTTCGCACTCGTGAAAATATTTTTTAAAAAAAAAAAATCCTGTCCTATTTGTGAAATTAATTCCATATCGAACTAAAAAAAAACATTGACTCAGAGTATCCTCTATGTATCTTTTTTTTATTTTTTTTATTTATTTATTTATTATTTTTTTTTTAAACAATTCAAGTATTTTCACCTCTTTTTAATGCATTCATCTCTGTTCCTTTATTATGACACTGTAATTGCCAAAAATAGTTTCGAAAAAAAAGTTTTTGCTTTTTTTTTATCTGAATGTATAGAGTATGATTCAAGTAAATTTGAAACTGCTTTTAAAACTTTTAAAACTTTGTGGTCAATGGAGTTGTTCTAACACATTAAGAAAAACGATCGACTGCAGATCTAAATCTAAATAGTATTGTTCAAAACTTGTATCCTTGACACAGTTACATCTTAATGTTTTATCAATATTTCGAGAAAAAGACCGATGATTAGTAGACGGAAGCCAATATCTATCTTTTCAGAACCCATCACCTGAACCCTTTTGGTTCTGTAATCATGCATTCAAAGGCCCATCTCGTCATCCTGAGTCAAAGGTAACATTGGACATCAATAAAAATGTCTTTAGAGAAACTTGGAATCATGACGTAAAAATCATTCTTTTTATTTCAACCTTATTTTTGGACCTGATAAGCGCAGTCAATACCAGCCCAGATCCGATTTGCAATTTAATATCTTTTCAATGCGTTTATTTGATTATGGAGATGTCGTTCCTTAGCTTCCAATAACGACGAACCAGCTGATCCGATTCGTATGTCCACGGCCTTTTGTTTATGTCATTCTGAGCTCGCTTGAAAAATGGATAGAGCCAGCGATATGAAAATTAGAGACTACAGATTAATGAATTGGTATAACACAGCTTTAGCAATGTTTATTCAGAAAATCTTTTTGGATTAAGGAACAGGATATACCTATAAATACTCTGTCCATTTGGGTATTAGAGGGCTGTGTGGAAACATTTTTTCCTCCTAGCGACTTGCCATTTTGAGCTAAATGCATTTTTATTCTTAAGTGAATCACAGCAAGGAGACAAAGGCCTGAGACATTTAGCACAAGATACAATTTGTGTACCCCCAAAAAACAGGAAATACAAACTCCAACTCCTCTGTTTTTCGATTTAAACAAGAAATCGAAAAAAATCCCACAACAGAGGAATTTTAGAAAAATTTCTTCTTAAAATTTGCATGTCTGAGCATCTAAATGAAAATTTCACAAATTCTTTATACAATATCTTAATGGAGTTTGAATCTACATTACTATTGTTATATAAATCTGATAGACCATCCTGATGGAATTCATTTCTTATGTTTGTGATCCATATATCATTTTCTACCATATCCTGTAAACTTGATTCTAGTACACAATTGCATTTAAATGTATTTTGTAATTTTAACCAGTAATTTGAATTTTTCTTTTTTATGCCCTCGTATAGAACATTCGGGGGTATATAGTTCTTGCCCTGTCCGTCCGTCTGTCTGTTTGTCTGTTTGTCCGCAAAAACTTTAACATTGCCCATAACTTTTGATTTGTTAGAGATATGAGTTTCATATTTCACATGTGTATTCCTTTTGACAAGACCTTTCTTTGGGTACCACCATATTTGACTTTTTGACCTTGACCCAGTTTTGCAAAATTTTACCCAACTTTAACCTTGGCCATAACTTTTGTACGGTTGGTGCTAGGGCTTTCATACTTCACATGTGTAATCTTTGTGGCAAGTCCTTCCTTTTGGATACCAACAACTTTGACCTTGACCTTGGAGTTTGACCTACTTTTGAAAAACTTTAACATTGGCCATAACTTTTGTACGGTTAGTGCTAGGGCTTTCATACTTCACATGTGTAATCCTTGTGGCAAGTCCTTCCTTTGGATACCAACAACTTTGACCCTTTGACCTTGACCTTGGAGTTTGACCTACTTTTGAAAAACTTTCACCTTGGCCATAACATTTGAACGGTTGGAGCTAGTGCTTTCATCCTTCACATATGTAATCCTTGTGACAAGACCTTCCCTTGGACACAAACAACTTTGACCCTTTGACCTTGACCTTGGAGTTTGACCTACTTTTGAAAAACTTTAACCTTGGCCATAACTTTTGAACCATTGGTACTAGGGCTCTCATACTTCACATATATAATTCTTGTTACAAGACCTTCCTTCGGATACCAATGACTTTGACCCTTTGACCTTGAACTTGGGGTTTGACCTACTTTTGAAAAACTTTAACATTGGCCATAACTTTTGTACGGTTGGTGCTAGGTCTCATACTTCACATATGTAATCCTTGTCACAAGACCTTCCCTTGGATACCAACAACTTTGACCCTTTGACCTTGGAGTTTGACCTACTTTTGGAAAATTTGAAGTTGGACAGAACTTTTGAACAGTTGGTGCTAGGGCTTTCATATTTAACCTGTCTATTTCTTGTGACAAGTCCTTCCTTTGGATACCAACAATTGCAATCCATTGACCTTGACCTTGGAGTTTGATCTATTTTTGAAAAACTTTAACCTTGGTCATAACTTTTGAAAGATTGGTACTTCGGCCTTCATATTTCACCTGTGTATTTCTTGGGAGAAGGCCTTTCCTTGGGCACCATTAATTTTGACCATTTGACCTTGACCTTGATGTTTGACATACTTATGGAAACTTCAACCTTTTCCGTATCTATTCAATGGTTGCTGCTAGGGCTTTCATATTTCACAGGTATATATTTCTCGAGACAAGACCTTACTTTGGGTACCAACATATTTAATTTGCATTTGAGAAAGTTTAACCTTTGCTATAAGTTGCCATACGGGGGCATTAGTGTTTCACAAACACTTCTTGTTTGTGAGTATATGTTTCTAATTACGTTTGTGCTTACGTGAGACTTTTTTGTGAGTATGTTTCTAATTACGTTTGTGCTTACGTGAGACTTTTTGTAAGTATGTTTCTAATTACGTTTGTGTTAACGTGAGACTTTTTTGTGAGTATGTTTCTAATTACGTTTGTGTTAACGTGAGACTTTTTTGTGAGTATGTTTCTAATTACGTTTGTGCTTACGTGAGACTTTTTTATGAGTATGTTTCAAATTACTTTTGTGCTTACGTGAGTCTTTTTTGTGAGTATGTTTCTAATTACGTTTGTGCTTACGTGAGACATTTTTGTGAGTATGTTTCTAATTACGATTGTGCTTACGTGAAACTTTTTTTGTGAGTATGTTTCTAATTACGTTTGTGCTTACGTGAGACTTTTTGAGAGTATGCTTCAAATTACGTTTGTGCCTACGTGAGACTTTTTTGTGAGTATGCTTCTAATTTGGTTTGTGTTAACGTGAGACTTTTTTGTGAGTATGCATCTAATTACGTTTGTGTTTCGTGAGACTTTTTTGTTAGTATGCTTCTAATTACGTTTGTGCTTTCGTGAGACTTTTTTGTTAGTATGCTTCTAATTACGTTTGTGTTAACGTGAGACTTTTTTGTGAGTATGTTTCTAATTACGTTTGTGTTAACGTGAGACTTTTTTGTTAGTATGCTTCTAATTACGTTTGTGTTAACGTGAGACTTTTTTGTAAGTATGTTTCTAATTACGTTTGTGCTTACGTGGGACTTTTTTGTGAGTATGTTTCTAATTACGTTTGTGTTAACGTGAGACTTTTTTGTGAGTATGTTTCTAATTACGTTTGTGTTTACGTGAGACTTTTTTGTGAGTACGCTTCTAATTACGTTTGTGTTAACGTGAGACTTTTTTTGTGAGTATGCTTCTAATTACGTTTGTGTTAACGTGAGACTTTTTTGTAAGTATGCTTCTAATTACGTTTGTGTTAACGTGAGACTTTTTTGTGAGTATGTTTCTAATTACGTTTGTGTTAACGTGAGACTTTTTTGTGAGTATGTTTCTAATTACGTTTGTGTTAACGTGAGACATTTTTGTAAGTATGTTTCTAATTACGTTTGTGTTTACGTGAGAATTTTTTGTGAGTATGCTTCTAATTACGTTTGTGCTTACGTGAGACTTTTTTGTGAGTATGTTTCTAATTACGTTTGTGTTTACGTGAGACTTTTTTGTGAGTACGCTTCTAATTACGTTTGTGCTTTCGTGAGACTTTTTTGTGAGTATGCTTCTAATTACCTTTGTGTTAACGTGAGACTTTTTTGTAAGTATGCTTCTAATTACGTTTGTGCTTACGTGGGACTTTTTTGTGAGTATGTTTCTAATTACGTTTGTGTTAACGTGAGACTTTTTTGTGAGTATGTTTCTAATTACGTTTGTGTTTACGTGAGACTTTTTTGTGAGTACGCTTCTAATTACGTTTGTGTTAACGTGAGACTTTTTTTGTGAGTATGCTTCTAATTACGTTTGTGTTAACGTGAGACTTTTTTGTAAGTATGCTTCTAATTACGTTTGTGTTAACGTGAGACTTTTTTGTGAGTATGTTTCTAATTACGTTTGTGTTAACGTGAGACTTTTTTGTGAGTATGTTTCTAATTACGTTTGTGTTAACGTGAGACTTTTTGTGAGTATGTTTCTAATTACGTTTGTGTTAACGTGAGACATTTTTGTAAGTATGTTTCTAATTACGTTTGTGTTTACGTGAGAATTTTTTGTGAGTATGCTTCTAATTACGTTTGTGCTTACGTGAGACTTTTTTGTGAGTATGTTTCTAATTACGTTTGTGTTTACGTGAGACTTTTTTGTGAGTACGCTTCTAATTACGTTTGTGCTTTCGTGAGACTTTTTTGTGAGTATGCTTCTAATTACCTTTGTGTTAACGTGAGACTTTTTTGTAAGTATGCTTCTAATTACGTTTGTGCTTACGTGGGACTTTTTTGTGAGTATGTTTCTAATTACGTTTGTGTTAACGTGAGACTTTTTTGTGAGTATGTTTCTAATTACGTTTGTGTTAACGTGAGACTTTTTTGTGAGTACGCTTCTAATTACGTTTGTGTTAACGTGAGACTTTTTTTGTGAGTATGCTTCTAATTACGTTTGTGTTAACGTGAGACTTTTTTGTAAGTATGCTTCTAATTACGTTTGTGTTAACGTGAGACTTTTTTGTGAGTATGTTTCTAATTACGTTTGTGTTAACGTGAGACTTTTTTGTGAGTATGTTTCTAATTACGTTTGTGTTAACGTGAGAATTTTTTGTGAGTATGTTTCTAATTACGTTTGTGTTAACGTGAGACATTTTTGTAAGTATGTTTCTAATTACGTTTGTGTTTACGTGAGAATTTTTTGTGAGTATGCTTCTAATTACGTTTGTGCTTACGTGAGACTTTTTTGTGAGTATGTTTCTAATTACGTTTGTGTTTACGTGAGACTTTTTGTGAGTATGTTTCTAATTACGTTTGTGCTTACGTGAGACTTTTTTGTGAGTATGTTTCTAATTACCTTTGTGTTAACGTGAGACTTTTTTGTGAGTATGTTTCTTTTCCAGAAGAACCAGTCTATTATCAGCAGATATGCTATTATTATAATTGTTATGCTATTTTGTAATCTAAAAATTTTGCCTTACACACATCATTAAACCATTGGCTTGTCCTTTCATTTGTCACCATTATTTTTACTTTGTCTAACTGGATTAACACGTTCAGTAACAATAGGATAATAATAAATCACACAAATTATTGCCAAAAGTATTTACACAATTATTAGCAGCCTTTAAGCTGTCAAACTGGGTATACAGTTAACAATAGAATTAAAATTGTCTAACAGAACAGAATTTACATCTATATACATTACTATTATAATCATCAATCCACTTTACAGACTTTCAAATTGCTCTTACTGTTTACTTGTGACCCTAGGGTGCTCTGTCATTCTTACAAAAACTTGATATTTTCAAAGCAAATGTTACAGGGGAGTGGGCAGGGGAAAAAATCAAACTTGTCAATATTAAAATCTAAAATAGTGCTAAAGTTTTATTCATTAGTTCATTAAAATTAGTACCGTATAAGATTTGCATTTATTTAATAGGTAATATATTGTACTTATACTCATACCATAAAATTTGACACTTCCATTTGGATCATTTATGAGTCTACCATTGACAATGCGTAAACCTGTTGTTCTACATAAGCAATCAACTTTCTTCCAAAATCATTAACAATGATATCAGTGTTAAAAGTATTAAAAAGTATTAAAAGTCTAAACTTGGTCTTTTAGATATGTACCATGCCTTGTCCTTTCACTGACAAAGACTGTGGCCTTTGTGACGTCAGTTACGACAAAAACCACCAATGATACAGAAACAACAATATAACAATGATACAGAAAAAAATGTTACAATGTAAAAGTAATAACGGTGTTAATTTGAGATTATTACATTCTGCGTTGAGATCAACGCAAAATGTAATAAAGCCAAATGTAATAGCACACTTTTTGGATTATTACATTTTGCGTCGAGGACATATTTCCCGATGTTTCAAAAATCTGTTAATATTATACGATATTAAAAACTACAAATATATTCACATTTTGTGTTCCTGACAATGTGTGTTGTAATTTACACAAGTGGTATTAACACCAGTTGAAATAGTTACTTGTCCCTCCAAATTCAGGGAGAAACCAATTTTCGAAGCGCAACAAATTAGAGAATTTACAATAATTGTAATTGAAAAGCTTTAATATATAATCTGTAGGTAAAATAAAATCCTATATATTCGATTTATATAAAAACATTTTTAGGGTATAGGAACAATGATTCAAAGGGGGAAAAAACTTCTAAAGGTTCGAATATGTTAAGGCAACTAACAAGGATTATGACATTTTGTTTTAATAAACTTTTCCTCGAGATCAATGCAAAACGTGTATCAACAGGAAATCTATGAATATTTTGGAGGGGGGGGGGGGCAAATTTATATTTGTTTAAAGAAACTTTATTGGTTGCAATATTTTTCCACTTTCTATGAAAAATGCATTAATTTGTAGAGATAAAAAGCGACCATAACCTTTTATCGATATTACATTCTGCGGCAATTTCGATGCAAAATGTAATGATGGAAAACGTGTGCTATTAAAAAAAGTCAAATTACATGCTGCGTTCTTCTCGACGTAAAATGTAATAACTCAAAATGTTATAATCTTAAAAGTGTTATTCTCGACGCAAAATATAATAACGCCAAATGTAATAGTCTCAGTTTTTAACATTTTGCATTGATATTCCATTTTGCGTTGTAACAAACCAAGAAACAGAAACAGTATCATCAAAATGAGAAGATCAGATAAAATATACAAGGCTTATTAGAACAGTTCGCGGACACATTGATTTACGGAAAATTTATTTAGTACTTAAAAGAATGACGTATGTCTGATTAAATTACTATCTTTTGTTTATTAGTATGTAAAAAATAAAATCAGACACATTTACTAAAATTTTGAAAATATACAATGATTTTTACTGTGCGACCATTAGATTCACGGAGCAATTCACGCGACAACCCGATTCCAAACCTACTAAGCCTTTTTGCATTTCTAAATATCTTTAGGTTTTTTTTTTAGACTTTTTATGCATTTTTCCAAATTAAAAATTGAATATCTCTATCAATACATGCTACTTTTTTTCTAAAATGTCTTTTGTTGTATTTTGGATATAGATCATTGTCTATGCAGTTACGTATAAGAAGTTTGCAAGGATTCCGCGATTTAATTAGTTCTCTCTCTCTCTCTCTCTCTCTCTCTCTCTCTCTCTCTCTCTCTCTCTCTGAATGGATGGTACAGAGAGTCAGTTACAGATATGATTTGTATAGTAATTTATGTACTACGCATACAGAGAAATTTTGGCCCCAGTTTTATTGTTCGCCCCTCTTGTCCCCAAAATTCAAAGGGGGCAAATCCACCAAGTCCATGTAGACCTCTCTTTTAAAATAGCTTTGTTTGAACCAAGTTAAACAGAGCGAAATCGTTTACAAGTGTGAAGTTGTATGCAGTGTATGATCTTGGGGCCAGTTTGGATAAAGCTAGGAGCAGGAACGATCTAAAATACACAGTGAATTCAAAATTGGTGATGACCATGTAAAATATTCTTTGTATATGCTTCAGATAGAGATAATGGCGTATGTGGTCTAGAAAACCACTGAAATTGTAAGTGTTACTAACGAAATGTCAAGATGAAGGAACAGTAGAAAAGCTCAGGACAAACTCGTTGCTATTAAAATCTCCCTTTTAATTCTTTTTTTAAAAAGAAAATTTGAAAATAACTACTTTATGTGTAATTTGGGGTTATACGATAATGAAGTATTCCCTTATTTGTACAGTTACAATCATGTATTTATAATTTATTGTTCAACATTTTCCAAATAAATATTTCCATATAAATATATGAAATCGCTGCATTTTGAATGGTTATCGTAAACTATCATACTTTTCATGCTTAAATCAAAATAGGCAACTTTTAAATATTAAACTAAAAAAGTTAAATTTTTTTCTAAAAAAAAGTATTAAAAAAAATTGCTAATCTTTTTTTTTTTTTTCATTTAATTAATTATTAACACTATATATACACTGTATGCTCTTTAAAAAAATAATAAAGGTCAATCATTAACAAGAGTTTACCTCTAATAATGTAGAAATAATCCAAATTTTCTTCGAATTCGTAAGGGAGGGCATCTTCTTGAGTGAAATCTTGGTCATAAAGTTTACAGATCCGTGTAACACTATTATAGAGTAAAGAGAGACAATTCTCCACCATTGAACACGCATCAACACATTGTATTTTACTTCTTTTTACGGATGCACTAATAGGATGTGATGAAAAAACCCTGTTCTTCATGTTGGAATCTTGAAAGCCTCTTAGAACTCTGGATTCACCTTTAGACTGTGTATAAAGTGTTATAATGATATAAAATAGAATACAGTTACATCCACCCATTTCTAATGATCTCTTATGAATGATATAGTAAAGAAAGAAGAAACAGTCCGAATATTATGGCTGGTTCGATATTTCTTGTTTTCAAATTGATCTTTTTTGGGGTTGCAATCATAACAAATTCATTAATGCCATGTCGGGAACTAATGCGTCGTAATTATATATTTGTCAGGTCAATTACCAGACAGTATGAACGATTTAGTAAACCAATCAGAATTCGTATTCAGGGAGTTTTTTGTTTCAGTTGAAGACATGGGATAACAATCCGCGTCAAACAAGCTTACTACAAATAGTATCAGGAAAATCTATGGATAATCCAAGCTGAGAAACCAAGACAAAAAAGATAAAAAAAAAAAATCAGGTGAAAAGAGTATTCGGCTGGGTAACAAATTGTAAGAGCCCATTTGTAAAACAAAATTCCTCGAAGTGGATGCGATTCAGAATTTATTACATTGCATCAAAGTACTTCAGATTTTACGATATTTTTTATTTTAAAAAAATGCAGAGAAAGAATCTGTCAATAATGCAAACAATCTATAGAAATATTTCTTCTTATTTACATATGTATAGTCATCAAGGTTCAAACAATATTTTAAGAATTGTTAGAAGTGATCAATATCATCACAAATGCAATTTGTCTTCATTCTGTCGATAGTGCTTGAAAAAAGTTCTTCAGATTGTGAAAAATACCACGACTCTCTGTAAGGATAATATTTGTAGACGGACTGGAGTACACAAATCAAAAACTGTATTGCAAGAACATTAACGTTTCTGAAAAAAAAACACGATATAGTGATTAACCCATGATAAGAATGTAAGAAATGTATTTGCAGTCTATTTTTTTTAGATCTTTCTCTTTTTTTTGGGGGGGGGGGGGGGGTGTTCGCAGGCATCATAAAGAACATATCTGTTTACAATGAAAATATAGAATCGCTTTTTAGTAATTACCATAAAATACTAAAGTGTTATTTAGATTTATTTATTGCCATTTTCCTCTGTTCGTTTTATTAATTTTTTTTTTAAGATTCAAAATCTTGAAAAATTGTTAAGTCGTACGAAAATTAGATCATCAGAAAATTATCTCCCTTTATTAAAACAACATTTATTGAAAATTTTCACATCATGCAATTTCTACCAATCACAAAAGAGAGAAAGTGCATCGCCCAAAGACTGTAAAATACTTCAACTCTGTGAAGACGGTAATAATGATACATTAAGTTATCTTTTTCAATGCGCGGATCCAGGATTTTTTCCCAGCTCGAAATTTGTTGACAAGCAAAAGAAAAAAAGACTAAACAACTTCTTCATTCTCGAGAAACCTGTTTCCGGGGGGGGAGGGGGACACAAGCCTCTTTATTATGTATATTTTCTCAGAGAGTTTGCTTTGTGGAGGTGAAAACGACAAGATGACGCAGTAAAGAAGAAAAACAACCGTTTAGTGATAGTAATACAGCTGAATCTCGTATCTCGAACACGGATATCTCAAATACCATTGATACGTCGAAGTGATTTGGAAGTCCCGAACACTACTAGTATTTTCTTATTGTATTTTACCCTCAGTGTCTCGAACTCTCGGATATCTCGAAGTTTTTCTCGGTCCCATCGAGTTCGAAATAACATTGTCTGACTGTATCACATAATATTTCTTTGTCGTTCTAGGCAGCTGTGTGTAATAAAATACCACTGACATTTTTTGCACTCAGAAACAAGATGTGTTTGTGAAACACTGATGTCCCCGTATGGCAACTTATAACAAAGGTTTAACTTTCTCAAATGCAAATCAAATATGTTGGTACCCAAAATAAGGTCTTGTCTCGAGGAATATACCTGTGAAATATGATAGCCGTAGCAGCAACCATTGAATGGATATGGAAAAGGTTAATTTCTTTTTTCAAACATCAAGGTCATGGTCAAATGGTCAAAATTAATGGTGCCCAAGGAAAGGCCTTCTCACAAGAAATATACAGGTGAAATATGAAAGCTGAAGTACCAATCGTTCAAAAGTTATGACCAAGGTTAAAGTGTTTCAAAAGTAGGTCAAACTCCAAGGTCAAGGTCAATGTATTACAATTGTTGGTATCCAAAGGAAGGTCTTGTCACAAGGAAAAAAAAGTTAAATATGAAAGCCCTAGCAACAACTTTTCAAGAGTTGTGTCCAAGGTTAAAGTTTTCGAAAAGTAGGTCAAAGTCCAAGGTCAAGGTCAAAGGGTCAAAGTTGTTGGTATCCAAAGAAAGGTCTTGTCACAAGGATTACATATGTGAAGTATGAAAGCCCTAGAATCAGCAATTCAAAAGTTATGGCCAAGGTTTAAGTTTTTCAAAAGTAGGTCAAATTCCAAGGTCAAGGTCAAAGGGTCCAAGTTGTTGGAATCCAAAGGATGGTCTTGTCACAAGGATTACATATGTGAAGTATGAAAGCCCTAGCACCAGCCGTTCAAAAGTTATGGCCAATGTTAACGTTTTACAAAAGTAGGTCAAACTCCAAGGTCAAGGTCAAAGGGTCAAAGTTGTTGGTATCCAAAGGAAGGTCTTGTCACAAGGATTACATATGCTACATGTAAGTATGAAAGCCTTAGCACTAACTATTCAAAAGTTATGGCCAATATTAAAGTTTTTCAAAAGTAGGTCAAACTACAAGGTCAAGGTCAAAAGGTCAAATATGATGGTACACAAAGAAAGGTCTTGTCACAAGGAATACACATGTGAAGTATGAAAGCCCTAGCACCAATTGTTCAAAAGTTATGGCCAAGGTTAAAGTTAGAAAAAATGTTGCAAAACTAGGTCAAGGTCAAAAGGTCAAATATGGTGGAACCCAAAAAAAGGTCTTGTCACAAGGAATACACATGTGAAATATGAAAGCCATAGCTCCAACCAATCAAAAGTTATGAGCAATTTTAAAGATTTTGCGGACAAACAGACAGACAGGCGGACGGACAGGGCAAAAACTATATACTCCCGAATTTTCGATACGGGGGCATAAAAATGAATAGCATACCCGCTTATTTTCCTTCAATGAAGGGTTTTCATATTGAATATTTTTTATATTGTTACGAAAAACAACAATGTTCCACCAAGAATGATACGACCAGATCAAAGTGAAAATCTAATTTACTTGCTTGATGTCGCATAAGATTTGGAACTACGGGTTTGAATTATGTCCCAAACCTAATTTAACAGCTTTTCACTGATCTAAAATTAGATACTAGTAGTACAAAGAAAAGGAGCAATCAAAATTATTTGAAATCTAAATAATAATTATAATGAAACATGAATAATAATTTTTTTTCTAAAATGTTTTTCTTTACATATATTGATCGATTGTTTTCTACTTACATACAATTATATGTACCTGCATAAATATATTGTCTCCAATAAAACAAAAATATTCACAGTTATTGTGTTTATGTAAAAGTTTTATGTGTATCTTTGTGTATTCAAGTATGAGAGGGGTGGGGTGGGGTTGGGGGTTTGCTTGTGAACCTTTACCCTCTCTTTCATCAGCAAACCAGAAGAAGGTGAGAGAGAAAGCATGTCTACCAACCCTAAGAATTTTTTTTACCATAACTAAAGTAGTGCAGATTGAGTACATCATTTTCTTTTTCTTTTTTCATTTCAACAGGTACATTGAAGGGAAATCATTTATGAGCGCTGCTACAACAGCGCAGGCCGGCCGAGGGCGAGTGTAGAAATATCAGTCATTTTATCCACAAGTCTTTACCAATACTGGCAAATGTTGAAAACATTTTGAAAAGGAAAAATAATGTTAATTAGTTAAAACTGAGCGTCAGATATGAGTACCTATGGTAGTATTTTTACGAGCTTCGCATACTTTGTCCAAAATCTACTATTGGTACGTGTAAATGTATTATTTATTTTGACACGATGTTTTCATAACTTAATTTTACATTCAACATGTATTTTGCTTATAAAGTATGAGGAAAGCTACGGCATTCAAAACACCATAACGCGGACAGAGGGTCAAAAGGTTAAAGTTAAACACGTTAAACAGAAGCTGTTGCAATGGCTCTTCCATTAAATATAACTTACCCGAAGGATAATACAGGGATTTTGAAATAAAAAACACCTTTGCAGTCAGAGCAAGTAGTTAATAAAATGTAAATATAAGCATTGAATCATTATTTTTTGAAAGATATAGTCTCATAACTGCAACGGTGTGTGCAAACAAATTTTCATAACGCGCTAACGCGCGTTACTCATTTGTTTGCACACACCGTTGCAGTTATGAGACTATATCTTTCAAAAAATAATGATTCAATGCTTAAATATAGAACTTCGGAACAAGCTTTAATTCATATTTGGCTATCATTTGTTTTAAATAAGAAGCAAGACTCTACTCACAAAAATAATAGGTAATACAACCATGAGAAATCAAAACCATTATATTTTTATGTGATTTATTATAAAAACAACTGTATTTCTATTTACAATATGTACAGGGACTTGAGCAGACAAGATAGTGACATATCTGAAACAAAAAAGATTAATTCGGAAAAGGTATATAATAATAATAATGTGTTGAACGTAAGAGTCAAGAATTTTAGCCTTTCCTATACAGAAAAGTACCCAGAAAAAAAATGGAAAGTGTGAAAGACTATTGTATAATATTGGATTAAAAATATTAATATTAATGTCTGCTTAGTCTATTATTAACTTGACACACAGTGCCTACACAGGAAAAAATTGTCACAGACAATAGAAAAATGACGTTGTCACAGACAACAGACAAAAAAATTATATAATCAATATAAAATACAACTTATTTTTTAAGAAAAGTAAATATCGAATTGAAAGACATGCAGGGTAGTAAAAGTCTATGAGAATTGCTCAGATTTCCTTTCAAAGAGGAAGCTGTTCTCTGTGACGTCATTTACTGGTCACAGTGAGGACCGGAAGTTACGAACATCTCCGGTCTTCTGGTGTGGACTGAATCCAGCAGCTGTAAGGCGACATTCCACCAAACAAGTCCTTTATGTTACCAGAAGCATTTTTCTGCAAGTAAATAAATACAAATATGCACAAACGATAAAACTGCATGAGAAAAATTACATGTATGCGTGTATTTTTAACTTTTTTATGATAAACACAGTAAATTAATGTAATATAAACTGTAAACTTCAAACAAGATTTCTTTTATGTAATATTCTGCATCAATTTTGTTTGTTAAAATATTTGTGCTTTTACTTAGTAAAAGTATTAGACATTACCTGGTTAAACGTTTGGTTGCTGAAAGGCTGAGTCTGAGATCTATTAAGGTGACGCCAGGCGTCTTGCATCTGATTCTGATGACGCCCTGTGTCAGGCATCTGTTCAACACCAAATGGACGCCCTTTGTTAATATAGCGTCTGTACGCTGTGTCACGCTTTGCTTCCATGTCATCTGATTGACGACTTTCTGATGAATACTGTTCAGCAATCATAGACTGTGTAAAAAAAAGTATAAATTTATACTTAACACGTATATACTGTTTTCAAATATGTTTGTATATGCATTGTTTACATTCTGTAAAAACGTAATTTTGCTGCTGATTTAATATTTATATTCGTCTAAAATTCATTTGCACAAACTCTGGAGGGGGGGGGGGGAGGAGGAGGCTTAAAATCAACTATCAAAGTATAAAAAATCAGTAGCTAAATACAATTTCTGTTCCTTACCCAGTCACACGCTGATTTCTTGGGTCTTGCAGCTAGTGACGAGCCAACAGCAGAATCTGAAGTCTTTAGTGAGGTATGCTCAGTTTGTGAAGTCAACATAGAGTTGGGTACAGCATTTGAAAGGTTTGATCCACTCCTTTGATTTCCCTCCTTTGAGATGTGCGTTACTCCAGACGTACATGTATGTCCTTGTGAGTATTTATCTGCAGGAGGGACCCAGCCTTTTGGAGCAAAACTCGGGACATAACTTTGTGGCTTCACATTTTTTGACAAATGCTGATTCTAAAAAAAAAAAAAAGAAAGTGGATACTTAATTTTTAATCTTTTTTTTTTACTGTTTTCTGTCATTCGAGTGACCTTACATGGTTTAGTTTTCAATAAATGACCATACCAAAATGTTGAAATGAGCACTTTTACTTACTATTTCATTTGGAGTTGGAGCCCTCTTGCTGTTTCTTTCCTTTGCCTCAGTCATTGCAGGCATTGGTTGTCGAGCCGTTGAGGCAGTTTGTCTCATCTCCTGAGCTACTGAGTTAGTTAACTTGGACTCTGCTGAGACACTTGTTATTGACTCCCGCGCTGGTGAGGCACTCCTTGGTGCATCCCAAGCTGGTAAGACCCTCCTTGGTGACTCCCGCGCTGGTGAGGCACTCCTTGGTGCATCCCAAGCTGGTAGCACCCTCCTTGGTGACTCCCGCGCTGGTGAAGCACTCCTTAAGTCCTGGGCTGGTAGAGAATCAGCCTTTTTTGCCTCTCGAGCTGGTGACCTAGCTCTGGGTGATGAAGGAGGGCTGTCCAGATAACTGGTTAACCCGAGGTCCTCCAATGTTGGAGTCGGGTGATACATTAATATCATGTAATCAGGAGGGGCGTATCTGTTGATGGGCTTCACTTGCGGCTGAAATAAATTACTGAATAGTAAATTATCAGAATTCCTGAATTTCGCAGCTTTACAGATCTTGGAATATATTACATGTACATGATTATGATATTTTCTGTGTTCAAGTATGCAAATTAATTTACCTCTTTACGCACAACTCTCTGCTGAGGTTGCTGTGCATGTTGAGGCTTGTGAGAAGCAACTGTGCTCATAGACTCAGTCCTTGTATGTGGATGAGTAGGATGCACCCTCTGTTGCTGGGGAATGTTCCCATTCCCAAAGCTAGTCCTTGTCTGAGATTGGTACCCAATTGGGCGAGTAGGTTGCACATGTTGTTATGAGACTGAATTTTTTGTTCTAAAAAAGACCTTAACTTTTTTTAACAGGTTAATTAAAATTTTCTGGAAATACAGTACTGACTAAGTAACCAATTTAGGGGAAAAGGGGGGGTATTAATTATATCGAATAGCAAACATATAAAGTTACGGTGAAGAAAGATTTTTTTCTCTATAACTATAGACTTTACATACATGTACATGTATTATAGTAGCGAATATTCTGTAGTGCATTACATTTTAAATAAATATTTCCTTTAAACACACTATCAATTTAATTCGCTCCAAAGATAATAAATTAGCAGGATATCGGCAGTACTATGTATAACTCTCAGAACTAGTTCTATCATATTTTCTGTTGTAATTGAATAAAAAAAACGCATTAGAAATAAATATTTTCGTAATTTTGCTGCGTAATTATTTGACTTGGATAATTATATCTCCATTAACGATTTGTCGTCTTTAACAAAACATCAAAATGTTGCAGTGCTTGAAGTATTTGCACATTGGCCTTAGTTAAATTTAATATTTCAGCATCGTTCTACATAGGTACAGGATGTGCTTATAACAACATTTTTTTCCAGAGTAATTTAATAAATAACCTAATAGCTAAGTTAGAATAATAAAAATATATATCTTAGATTTTTCCCCCATGAAATAATGATTCTTCAAAGACGATATGTTAGTATTAAATTAAAAAATCCGTTACTCCTTACCAACAAAAAGATAAGTCCTTTCACTTTGGAGTTCCGAATGGCAATGACAACTGAACGATAGGTGAACGCTGAACGCAAGGTGAACGCAAAGTGAACGGAACGAAGAGCGAACGCTGAACGCTTTGTGAACGGTGAACGCGAGCGCACGGTGAACGGTGAACGCAAAACTGTGAACGGAGAGCGAACGGTGAACGCACGCTGAACGAACGGTGAACGAACGGTGAGCGAACGGTGAACGAACGGTGAGCGAACGGAAAAATGGGAAAGTAGAACGTTTCAGGGACTGTACATGTATTGTACATGTTTACCATGGCCGTAAGAACCTGGAAGGGGGGAGGGATAATTTTGCCGATATATAGAATACTATAGAGAGCATAACTACTATATGCTTGTGTCCCCTCAATAATAACGGTTGATGAATAATAACGATTTTTTTGTTTGTTTGTTTGTTTGTTTTTTTGTTTTGTTTTTTTTTTTTTTGCTTGTCAAGGAATTTTTGAAAGTTGATAGTGCCCTCCCCCCCCCCCAACTGAAAATATATGGTTGTGCTCTCTCCCCCCACCCACCCCCCAAACTGAAATTGCTTCCTACGGGCCTGTATACATGTATCAAATGATACTCTTAATAGTGTTAAGCAGTGAGAACTAAGCTTTCATAGTAAGAACTACGCACACTAACTCTCGATTTCCGTCTACATTTTACACCTATTTAATTCAATACTTATGACAATTTGGCCGTAAAATCTTTGTTGAATGCAAAGAACAGTTCAATGGTAATTGATTGACAGTGTCAATACCGGTGTTAAATAGTTATTTACCCCTAATTCCAGCTCTTTAAATAAGGGGGGTAGACGATATTTTTCATTGAAATCGGGCTTTAAAGCATCACCACATTTTAAAATATTCTTGGATATGAATAAGTGTTCTTTGAATCTTTTCTTATGTTTTACTCATATAAAATTAAACATATATTATTAATAAAATACAATGTTTGAGTTGTAAACCCCTTTGAAACTGGTTAAAAAATAAGCACTTTCGCAGTTTTTTGTCTGTAAACATATGTCTCCCCCCCCCCCCCCCCCCCCCGTGTAACACAAAAAGCTTTGGTATGAATTTGTGAAATGGTAGTCCATATTACCTGTAAAAAGGAATTTTTGTCTCACGGGGGGGAAAGATGTTTTAAAAATATTTTCCGTTTTCCGTTGTTTCTATAGTGAAAAGCACAAGTTTTACCAAATTTATAGAGTTATCTCTCTTTCTTTTCCCAACGAAGTAATGTTTTATGAAAATTCATATAAATATGTATATAGATATGAAAAATCATTCAAATGTGTTAACTTTTGAAAATTGACTTGGAGGTAGGCGGGAGAACAAGTTCGCAGTTCTTTAATATTTAGATGTACGACAGCACTACTACGGATGATCTACTGCATGTATGGTTATGGTTTAGTGGGATAGTGAGATAGGATAAGGATAAATTCCTTAGATAAGTGGAGGTTACAACCCTGCATTTCAGGCATAGTATAAAAATTTGGAAGACTGCAGGGGATTAAATATATCTAATTTGAAGATGAAATCTTCGAAAATCTTATGCAATAGCTTGCATGTAAAATGGGTATTTTTGTTTTCGAAATTTCAGTTTGCAGGCTAAGATTTTTTTCTTTTTTACTATAAATGGATAATCCCAACAGCCAGTTTATCTATAGACATGCACACAGGGGCTCTGTTTCAGGATCGCCATAGAAGACCACATAACACACTAAATACAAAATTCAACACTGTCCTGAAACAAAGCCCCTGTGGATATGCAATCCTTAAAAATACACAAAAAGTGACTTTTACCCTTTTATGCACGTTTTGTATCATTCTTTTGTCTGTATGAATCATATGTAACGAGAAATTAAACAAATTCTTCGCTCAGTTTCAGACACGTCTTGTCTCTTCGACTGATGCGTTAGAAATGAGTTGTTACTATACAACACAACGTTCACTCGGCAACTGTTACCTTGACGTTGTCATTGACTACGTTAAACATTGGAAAGTCCCTCTCTCTAAAAATGGAGGGCTGACTAAAATTTGTTTGTTATTATGTGTCAAACTCTAGTTTGAAAAAAGCTATATCATAGGAGCTGTGTCGATATTACTCTAGGCCTGAAACCTCATTAAAGAAAATGCTTGATGGTTCTTTTGCAATAAGCCATATACATGAATGTCTATTTCAACTTACCTTTCTCTAAAAGCAAGCAGACAAAGTAATAATCCATATGTTCATATAAGATAATATTATTTTCAAACTATTTTTGTGTTCGAAACTTATGTAAGAAATGTATCTGTGACGTTGCATAGAATTTGATAAATGAATCATTTCGCGGATTTTTTGTGGCATGTATAATGTAAACAATAAGTGTTATAATTAAACAGTTGAGATGATATAAAAAAATGTGTGGAAATTCAAATATTTCAACCCTTACAATTTTCTTAGAATTTATCTACTTTAAGTATAAATTGACTTTAAGATAAAGCAAGTCGAGTTACTGGGGGGGGGGGGGGGCTATTAAAATAGACTATATAGCTTAAAATTTTATGGATTTAAAAACTATTATTACACTGTAATTTTTAAAAAAGGCATGACAAATATGAGTATTACCCTCTTAAAAGCGCTTTTATTCATCTTCAAGACTTGACTTGCTCTTTTGAATGTAGAAATTTCGTAAAATATTCGCTTGACTGAAAACACGTCTTGTCTCTTTGACTTGTGCTTCAGAAATGAGCAGTAGCTACAACAGACAACGTCAGGCCAAGCAACTGCAACGTCATAAACGAGGACGGGGCCAATGAAATAAGGTACATTCAATACATACCCCCTCCCTCACTCCCACTCCTGGAGTAAAAGAAAGTTCTCATGAACTTGAATCTTCGTTCTCCGGGTTTAATATGTTTAATGACTTACCACTTTGAACCGATAAATTCAACCAGAGGAACTGTAAAGTAAATGATAGTCCATATTCATCGCGTATTTGTCCTTCTTTGCAACATAAACCTCCATAAAACTGATCTTTCAAACAGAATTGCTTAATTATATAAACTTGTTGATAGGTTTTCCATCATTGATTACTTTCTTGAAAAATGTCGACTGCTTATTGAAAGGGAGATTACTCTATTCTATGTATCAGTAAAAATCGCAAACGTATGAGTTATCTTTCTTATTACACAAAACAACAACAGAAACAATGTTGGATGACACATTTTTTTAAAAAATGCTTTAATGAATTTAAAACTATTTAACATGGTGTAATGTATACACGTGATTTGGTCTCTAGCGTAGAATCCCCCCATCCCCCGGTGATTCCTATGTAAAGAGACGAAAAAAAAATTCAATAGCCCCGTTCCCCGCCGGGAAACACGGACCCTTCGTAAGCTATGTATCTGAAGAAATTTGACTTAAAGTAAAGTGACTTGACCAACCCTCCCTCTTTTACGAAATAGGTGGGGTTTTTTGCCGAGTTTAAGTTGATGTGGAACACCCCCATCCTCCTGGAAAAAACATAGGTAATCAAAGATTACAGAGCTCACCTCAACGAATGTTGTCTTAAAGTTAGACAAAGTCCCACACTAAACTAATTATCTAGTAGTGTATATCCCTAGATGCAACATTTATCCAATTTTGATCTGATAGGGCTTGCAGTTATTTTGGAATGGACTTATCCAAAAACTTTAAACTGGTCACTCATCCAGAAAATGTCATTCAAATCCAGTATCTGAAGCAAGTTTGAGAGTGTTCATCCCTTGATGCATCATCCATGCAAGTTTGGTTCAGATAAGCATTATATGTAGTTTCTTGGTAATGGACCAGCTTCAAAACCTTAAGCCTGGTCACTTATCTGGAAAATGTAGGTCAAATCCAGCATCTGAAGCAAGTCCAGTAGTGTGCATCCTTAGATGTATCATCCATACAAGATTGGTCCAGGTGGGGCTTATAGTTACATGTACTTTAGAATGAACCTGCACCAAAAACTTTAACCTGATCACTCATCCGGAAAATGTAGGTCATATCCAGCATCCAAAGCAAACCTGGTAGTGAGCATCTTTAGATGTATCATCCATGCAAGTTTGGTCAATTTAGGGCTTATAGATAGTTACTTGGAAATAAGACCTGCTCCAAAAACTTTAACCTGCACCAAAAACCTTAATCTGCTCCAAAAACATTAACCGGGTCATCCTTTAGCTGAAATTGCAGCATCTGAAACCTTGATTGGTACAATAAAACATACTAGAAGCATCTTTCATGCATCTCTGATTAATATAGGGTATAGAAGTACTTGAAAAGAAATCTGCACCAAAGACGCCGACGCCATCACATAAGCTCCACCCGAAACTTCGTTGAGGTGAGCTAAAAATCCCACATCCGTGCATGAATTTTCTTCATTTCCAAATCACATGATACATACAGTTTGAAACAAACTAATATGAGACAATTTTGGCAATGTTATTCCGGCCACTTCCGGGAGTTATAGTTTTTTCTATAGATCATATAAATTGATTAATGTTATTGACGGCAAGCAACAGAAAATCACGAATAATGATGGATCCCTTTACGAAATAAAGCAGCCATTTTCTTAATGTTAAGAATTTGAATTTGCTGCCTTGTCAATATACTGCTTAATGCAAGAGTTCCTTTACAAGCGGATGATCCATTCAGCAAACCTAGTTTGAGAGCCAAGAATTTATGTAGTAAAAGTAATTGTGTTGTTACCATGGGACAGACTGTACCTATACCTATTTTTACCTTTGGAAAAAACAGTTGACTTTGAAAAAAATGATAAAAACCTACATATAGTTCTCTATACCAAGAAAAATATCTTCAATTAATAAATACTTCAACATTTTAAATAAAATAAAAAGAAAACTTTATTTAAAAATAATGAATTTTCTTTGCTTTCCTTAAAATTATCTGCAAATAATTGTCTAGTCTAATATTTTTTATAACACACACGTACACACACATGCACACACCCTCTCTCTCTCACACACCCACACCCTCACACACACAACCTAAGTCTAATTTTTTGAAATGCAGCATAAAAATAATTTCATTATTTTATTTCATCACGTAAACCAACGTGTGCTGAAGACTATATGTGAAAATAAAATGTTCACAATAATTCAATGTTGAAAATGTGATATTTACAATAAAAAAATTCAGTATAAATTCATGTATTCACAAACTAAAAATGTTTCTTAAAATATACAGAATCGAACTTGCAATCCAAAAATCAAGGATTGTCCATCGTGTAAACAGTGTAAAATACTCTTAATTCTATTCAAAGATTTACAAACAATCTCTTTGGTAGTAATCAAATTCAAAATAGTACTTGTCCTCATACCAACTTCCGGGCACATCTAAATATGTCACTTCCTGTAAACTACATTTCTCTGATAGATAACCATACTCGAAAGTCTTGCAGGTAAAAGCTGCTTCAGAGGTGCAAAGTTCGCGACATTGATCCAGGGTAACATTAACATGTTCCACTCTGTTGTTTTGATGGAGGAAATGGCGACTGTATAACATGTACTGATCACTGTATCCGAGTGAGCAATCTATATAAATAACAAATAAGTATACAGCTGAGGTTGTATAAGTCTGTTAATGATTCAGCTACCAATTATTCTAATCATCGACTTTGTATATATTTATTTTCATGTTGACTGAAAATCAAACCAAAAATGTCCAAAAATCAAACAGAAGACTTCAAGCAATTTGGGGGAGCACATGGCTCAGAGATCATTGTCACTATAACCCAAGGGTTCTTGGTTCAAGCCCCGCTGTGGGTACTTGTTGTTGTGTGTTTTGTCCTTAGACAAGACCCTTTTTTGCAATTATTCAGTCCACTCAGCTGCAATGGGTACCAGCTTACGCTGGGGGTTAACCTGCGATGGACTGGTGATGAAGTTCAAAAAAATAAAAACGTTCACGGGTTTACTTTGCAAAGGGAAAATAAAAAAAGGAATTCTAATCGGAAGTTAATTATTACGCGATATATTGATGTAATAATTATTTTTTTCACAGAGGGAATCGATATCAGTTTTAAACTACAATTAAAACTATGATTTGTACTTACTTGCGTCACAAGATTTCAGTCTGGGGTTGAAGCTGTACCCCGCCCCACACCAGCAATGCCCGCTCCGACACTCAGAGTTCCCAGTGACACAGTCTGAATGATTTCTACATGTGTCCCCTATATAGCCAATGCCTGCAAATAAAAATGCTTATGTTATGCCATCTTTAAATAATTGTTTGGCCCTCTCCCGACCGATCGCGACTGGCTAAAAATGTCCCGACTCAAAACTCTTTTTAACATCCAGGAAGCAATTATTTTTTATGCATTCCGAAAAATAGATTTTGAAAATTCGGCATTGAAATTGAAATTTTATGAGAAAAACAATTTCACCTTCCTACCGACCCATTTTTTCATCCTGGGTCGAGAGAGAGCTAGATAGAATGTTCTATCGTTAAAATGATAAATGTCCTACGGACCCGGTTTAACGATAGAATGTGTTCTGTGTATTGTCAATGTAGCAAAGAAAATACGGGAGATAACTCTATCTCAGTGCATTTACTATGAAAAATCCCGAGAGTTCCGAATGTTAACATGGTGTGTAAATTTGAAACGAGTAAAAAACGTTGATGAAAAAGTGTTGAATTCTTCCATTATATGGATTTAATTTTCAGATGAAAGGTATTACAGTATCTAAAAGGTTTGTTATGATTAATTTGACTGTTCTTTCACTAATTTTCTCCAAAATCGTTTCGGAGCGATTCTGCAATTTTCTGCCACATTACGGGTATATGGGAGGCATTCTAACTGTGGTGAGGGCCTGTCCCGAGACATAGTTAGATTATTCTAACTAAGAGAGAGCTTACAAACATTATTTTAAAGTTGGCCTTAATTAAACTTTTTTTTGGAAAAAGTAAAGGTGAGGTCTGTCCATGGATTTAAGAGTACTTGCAGTGCTTTATTAAAGTGGCATGGTATTGATTTTGGATATTTTTGACGATGCCATGCAAGTAAAAAACGAATGGCTTAGGGTGTTAAAAAATATTTATTTAAAATATATTTCGAGATATTGACACGTACGCTACATTATTGCAGCTAATATCGAGATATTGACACGTACATCATTACACAAACATATTGGTAATGAAAGATGCTATATGTATGATTATGTATTATCGAAATACTTTTCATGAAATATACAAGACATTTAATGACACAGTTTCAACGAATATAGGTGAATATCAGATTTGTTGTAATTGCAGGTCGACTACACTTTTGTTTCGAATTCGTATTAAACCGGTTTTAATCGTATTTGTATTTCCTGAAGGAATATTTATAAATGGTGTTGTCCTCGAACTTAAGAAAAAGTATGCTTTCTCGAATATTTATTATCTCCCTTTGAAAGAGGACATGGCCCTTCATGCGAACAAAATTAAATCCCCTTCACTTAAGGATGTTGTGTGGCAAATTCGGTTGAAATTGGCCCTATGGTACTAGAGAAGTCGAAAATGTGAATAATATACAAATATATAGGCCAGACGGACGGACGCCGTACATTTTTCAAACAGAATGTCATTTGTGGCTTCGGCTCAGGTTATCTAAAAATGACTAATCCTGGCTAATGAAATCATATTTTGTTATGTAATAAAACATAATTGAATTGGGCAGCAGGCTTTGCATATATAAGCTCTCTCCATAAAAAATATATAGTTAATCAATTTACGGGGTTTTTCCTCTTCACGACAAGAATTTAAAAAAGTCCGTCTTATTCAACATGCATATGCAATTAAATAATCAAACTTGATTTTCCGAATTAGATTGACTTTTATTTTAATATAATCATCGAACTTTCTCTGCAATGACAGTAAGTCATCTGCTGTGGAAGCAGGCTTTAAGAAATCTCTGCATAAAGTGTAATACCTTTGCTTCTCCAATTTTGCAGTTAAATTAAAATTTAAGAAATTAGCGATTATATTTTAATTTGGACTTCACTGTGCTATAAATCACAGATACGTATTCAACATGAGTGAATAATTGCACATTGTGAAAAAGGGTCATTTCACTTTTTTACCATCTCCTAATTTAAGAGTGAATTGGAAGTCTAATTTCTATTATCAGTTTATCTGTGTGAAATTCTACTTGAACAGATATAATTGCGCAAACTTGGAAGTTAGATAATTCAACTGAATATTAAAGTGGAAAGAATATACATAAAGAATATTAATTTATACATAAAATACATAATACACTGTATAAAATTTTATACATAATAGTAATGAAAAGTGTAACTGAAAGATAAGTTTGTCAAAATTTCCTTACCTCTCTGTGACACAAAGTACTGAGAACCAATGTCAGTCACAGCCCCTGAAACCTTTCCTAGAGTAATGGAATGTAGTCGACATTCAGAAGAAAGTGGTGAATAAAAGAAGCTAACACAGGGATTGCTGTCAAGGCACAAAATACTACAATAAATGGCTGACTCTACTCCGTGACGTGTTTCCAGAAGACGGTCCTTTACTAAAAGATTGGACAGATTTCCTCTTCGAGAACTTGATTCAGACCGTATTTCTGACGCGTTATTGCCACAAAGTAATATTTGAATTAAAATATAACAATAGGATATAAAAACAGTCTGTAAAACCAACGAGTGAACCATTGTGTGGAAATCCTAGTTGGTTTAAAAATCAAAACTGAAAAAAAAAATCTTACTGAAAATGAGTATTTCAAAACTGTTCAAGATGTTTAGCCAGTGTTGGCCATTTCAATTTAGAATCTTTTGCAAGGAGAAAGTTAACAAAAGTGTTAGGTTTAATGGTTTGAACCAAATTTTGACCGAATTTTACCGGAATCTGTTGCTATAAGATTCCGCTTTCACTTCTAATGATTGTAATTAACAAGTCTCAGAGAGGCGTCTAAATACACAATTGATCCGTTTGGAAGGAAATCAGCCAGTATTAACAGCTATTAATTTCAGAAATATTTTTTTTAAATCAATTTTGATCAACCAATTATAGAGAAATCACTGCAGTAAATATTGGCGTGATTGACATTTTTCTTTGAAACCAGTATCTGGAATAAAAACATTAGGAGGGCATTTAGTCGTTGCAAAATTATTCGGAAACAGAAAATTCACTCCTTTAGACACCACACGATTTTTTTCCAGCGTCAGTTCAAATCCATTAATCGAAGAATGAATAATGTTCCACCCGAAGCATCATCCCAGTTACCCTTTACCAGTTTTAACAAGTTTGAAGGAATTCTCTGTCTCTTTTGAAAATATTGAACGATCGCAAGAGATGAATCATGGGATTTTATAAACGAAGTGAAAACTCTTTCAACTCACTTCAGAATCAGTATAGTAGTAACATTGAACATCCCCATCATTAGCATTATAGGATTGGTAAGATCATCCCCCTATAAATATTTTAAATTTCTCAGAGTCTATTTAGAAACTCATAACATTCAACCTACTGTACATTTAATGCTTCCTATGCGTTTCCGCAAGTTTTTTCCATTAAACAAACTTGTTTGGCGTCAAGAAAGCAGAAAATGAGACTTGCTTCTTTTTTACTTAAACCGTCTTCTGATAATGAATCTATTATTCTAGGATAAAGAAAATGTAGGATTAAGCATAGGTGCTTGAAAATTCAGTTTATAAAACTAATTCCTTGTTATAAAGTTCTATTTTTCCTCTCGTCTACTCAAACAATCACTGCATTGAATACCAGAAGAGTAATTCGAGAACAATGATTAGTGTTTGAACGCTAGTTATAGTGATTAGTGCATGAACATAATAAAACGTTGAAGATAAAAAATTAATCAAAATAGTCACTCAAGCAAGAAATGTAGGTTACTTACAATTTCAAAATCATGCACCATTTAATGTGTACTGTAGATGTACTTTTTACCGCGAGGTATTAATATAAGCAGAAACAAATTTTCCGCAGAAATTTGTCACAGTGTACTTAAAGTACTCATCATGTGAGTAAGTTTAGATTGGACTTAGTTTAAACGTTGATCTAGTCACTATAGCATAAATTGTAGGTCAGGTGCAACATCCGTAAAATACTCGTACTTGAACCGTTCATGCACGTTTGGTTGGGATACCACTTTTGATAAATTTGGAATGAAAAGTGCATGTTAGCACTGCGCAAGTGGTTTGCGTTTGTACATGTAAACAGGTGATGGAGTAAGTTATTCAATCATACATTTAATTCCATCACAAAACTTCGTTGTGGGTGGAATTTTATAATAATCTTATGGAGGTGCATTTATTAAAGATCAAAAAGGTTAAGCGTTGACCTTGCCACTAAAGTTTAACATTGCATACTAATGTCATTGTGATTAGACTATAAGCCTAGAACTCACACTGAGACCAAATAGTAAAACAATGTAAGGTGTTATATATATTCATATCTATCCTCGTCATTAGGGTTAATATTGCAATTAGAACAGGTCAATTTTTTTCCATACTAAATCAATGCACGTACATGAATTTGTTATAAATGACAAGAAACACTTTGAAGACCGCAAAAAAATAGTTTCATTCTTTACGCATTAAAAAATCTCAAAAATGTGCATCTTAAAATGTGTACCTTAAAAAAACAACTCAGCCAGAGATTAGTTTAAGGTAGGTCGCTGGTTTACAGCTTAAAAATTCTTACGAGAAAACATATCCTGAAAAGAACTGGGTACGTTACGTATAACAAGACGGCACTGTCTCCAAATTTGATTTCAGTTTTATACAAACATGCCTTCGATGTGTCCTTTCAAGAACATTTTATTTTTCAAAATTATCACATACCGTTTTTCCGTCAAGATGTCTCGAAAATGGGGAGTTTTCTTTAAAAATTACAAATTTTGACGTGATAACGTCATCATGGCGTTACTGATTTTAACGTTACGTTAAAAGAAATCTGTAAATTCTCTGAACCGGAAACTATTTACTTTAATCTGCCTTGTGTTCCAGAAAACAATTTTGAACTTTTATTTCAATTCATCGTACATGTATCTTTGATAGCAGGAAGGAGTATAATAATTTGTAGGAAAATATAATTTTATTACAAATGATTTTATCAGACAAGTAATGAAGCTTGATTCATCCATACAGACGAGACAAGGTGGGTACTTTTAAAATTTGTATCATGTATATATGTGCGCGTGTCAAATTTATTAAAAAAAATTATGTAAAAATTTGCTAGACTTCATCAACCATTTTTCGCATGGTCTTTGAAGTTACATTTAAATTTTAAAGATGTATGAATCAATTAAAAAGAAAATTGGAACGTTCCATATAAAATTGTCAAAATTGGACTTTTGGGAATGAAAAAGCCATCAACCCCTCCCCGTTTTCCTTACCAACAAATGGTAGCGCTATTAATTTTGTATCTTCTATTGAAAAAAGTATAAATTACTCACTATTTCAGAGTTATGAGGTGTCTGTTAAATTGCATTAATTTTTCTTTGATGTTAGGAATCGTTATTTATTCATTCCAGTGGATCCTTTTTACTGCATGGTTTATGTCCAATGCACTAACCAGGAATAATCCCCAATATACTTACACACATTCACTTTCTATTTTAAACTACAAGGGGAGACCAGTTATAAGATGTTACTTACGGAGTCCTAATTGATGAGGCGATTCCAAGTTTTTTCCTTGTTTAGCGTCCATCCTAAATTCGAAAACCTATCTCCCTATCCGAGAAAACACACAAACCAAAAGGAGAAAAACACCAAATTTTCAGAACAGTTCTAGAATTCTTATTATCATTTGGGACCTCTCCTCGTAATAAAACTAAATTTTAAACTACTAGTTTATTGAAATTAAAAAAAAAACACCACTTAAAAAAGAGAGATGTCAATTCCAAAAGAGTAAAATGCATCTCACAGATTCGTATTTGTTGATTTTAATTTGAGTTAACTTTGTGTTTGCGTTTCAAAGCTTTGTGTTTGTCAATTTTAATTTGCGTTTGTTTTTAATTTCATAACCTCAAAAACCAATCCGACGCTATATTATACGCTGCACATAGAAAAAAAAACTTGAAACAGCCTTATCATAACGCGCGTTACAAACCTTGAAAATTTTTACTTCAAATTAATTAAAACCGTGAATCCCCGAAGCCTTTTAAAAAACGTATGCGATTTGTTTAGATCCATTTCTCGACGAAAAAAATAATTTATATGGCCAGTGCTAATTTTAATTTTTTAAGAGACAAGCACGCTACTTTGCGTGTACATACTCATTATTTGATTAACAAACTCGAAAATTACATGCCTAAATCTGCGTAGTGAATTCGACAGAAAATGTACATGAATTCTCGGGAGGGGATTCAGAAGCCTATAGTACATTCTAACGGGCATAATTCCCTAAAAACTAAAATTTATAAAAGTAAGGATAAAGTATGTATGTATGTTTTACATATAGAGTTTATCCACGTCGACTATGAAAATCTCCGCCTGTCGTCTTCAAAGAAATGCAGCATGAAGCGGCAGACACTTGCATTGATATCGATCAGTAAAAGATCGATAAACGGCCACAATCGAGTGGATATTATTTTGTTGGTCCTCATTAAAGTGCATGTATAACTTGATTATCAGTAACCCCCCCCCCCCCCCCACACACACACTTCTATTTAAATGGAGAAAAAATACATGTACAAATCATCGAACACACATATAAGAATCAAAATTCATTTTCACGTCCCTTTTGATATGCTACATAGAGATTTAATTTCTAGTTCAGTTATCAAATTATACGAAATCTGATGTTATTTTGTTACTTGTCAGTTGTGGGAACAATAAGTAGAACACGTCACAGTGTTTCTTATAGAGTTATCCTTGCCATTCCTGGATTATATCGTTTGATTATGTTTGTTTTTCATTTTAATGTCTGACTAAAAAAAATCTTTAAAAATATACCTTACAAACTGCTGACATGTATTACATGACTATACATCTACTAAGATAAAAACTGCTAAAATAGATAACAAGAAAACATTGATGTAACCATCAATCGTCGCCCGGGAAATAAATAAAGTAAACAATGGAAATGAGTCTTGATCATCAAACCGCTTCGATATGTGTGAAAAAGGCATGCGTCTAAATGATGGAGACGATAGTAGAGAATATTTTGAAAACTTATAATCGGATGAAAATCGAACAAAAACGATACCCTTTTAAACTTTATCAATTCCTCAAGTAAATGTTGGCTACATAAAATATAATTTGAAACCAGACACATGCATCACCTATTTTCAAAAATGTCTTTCACTTTAAGATTATAAAACACGATAGGGTAAAGTACGTTTTTACGTTTTTATGCGATAAGTAAAATTCGATGTTCTAAAAAAAAGGGACCTGTCGTTTTTTGATAGTAAATGATAAGCAACTTTATATATTAAATATGAACAACATATATATTTTTACATATTCACTTTATGGAAGTAAATATATTGTGTATCTCGTAATTTATAAAGGGAAAGAACATTCTGATTAACAATCTTTTTAATGTTTAGAAAACCTTTAATTCTGAATAACTTCTCCCACATCAATCCCCATATACCAACACTTAAACTTATATGTATAGAGCAGCCCGGTCCTCCGGGCTGCAATGATTTTACTTTAGTACTCCTCCTGATGTTTACATGTTACACAACCGTAGGTAAGATATTTGATATATTTCAGTAACAATGATGATTTTATCACTTCCTTCGGATACATTAACTCTCTGGGGCATTTCCTCCACAAATCTTTACATTTGTCCTTGAAGTAACGATAAAATACTTTAAATATTTTTTTCCGGAACGGATTATAATCCTACACGGACGTTCAAATCTTTAAAATTCAGAGATAATAATGTGCACCATTTTCACAAAGGTTATATTGGGCAGGACCCCCCCCCCCCCCCCTTCTCCAGCCCCGATGAACATCCATTGGAATACTGAGCATATTTCCTATGACATACTTAATGTATTATTTCATGGATTATCTGGATAAAATCCTTTTTAAATGCTGGCTTACTTCAAGATTATCAATATATACTAGTAGTGTAGTTAATATGTACATTCGTTTTTTATACAGGTAAATATCTATAGAGTAATATTTTTTTTCATTTTTCATTTCAAGACTTGGAATGTCTTAAAAATGTAAAAATAATTTCTGAAAAAAAATAATCGAGTTAAGGTATCCGACCCATATTAGGACCTAATTTTCTAACCTTAAATATCCATCCTGTATTAAATACTCTGATATTAATTCAAAGCATTTAAATTTAGAGTAGTAAAGGATTTACTAGAGAAATTTTCAAAAATA